CTTGTATTATTTTTTCACCCCCCTCTACCCATCATAGTGTACATTTATTAAGAGAAAGTCGTCTCTCCACTTTTCTTCCAGGAGAGACTAACAAGAGCCAGAGCTGCTGAGCCTAAGAGTTCAACAGTCTATACACAGACAGCAAAGACTCCTTGTTGCTATTTGGTTTGTGTAAAAGTACAGTTTTCATTCGTTTTAAAACAAGAAGTTGGCAATGTTGTGCTCTGTGACTACTGTGAGGGTCCTGCAGGGTGTCTACCACAGAGCCTTCCTAAGGTCCCTTCAGAGCTTAGCACACTAGGGCTTGCCAGCTTGGCTTTTCCTAAGTCAGTCTTTGCCCTCTCTGGAATACAAAAAAAAAAAAAAAAAAGATTCTGGATGTGGGTATTGGCGCATGGCAGAACGATGGTGACAGTCGCACCACTGCAGATGCCATCCCAAAGCAGCTCCACAGATGGGAGAGACACTGTGCTGCTGAAGCCATGTCTGTCCAAATGCTATTGTCCTTTTCTGAAAGAAAGGGGCCAAGGGCCATCATCTAGACAACACTGTCTCAGGAACCACAGGACAAAGAACCCCAAGATCCTGATTTCTTCCCAAAACCAGAACCAGGCCCCAAAGAGCGAAAACCCCGTCATTTTGGTCTCAGGGGAATTATTCTCATTCAACTGGGAGGGCCAACAGTAAACAGAAAGGTGGTTTAGCTTTGTAAAACCTAAAACATGCTACTACGATGACCTCAAAAAACATGAATGTCTGGGCTGGAGAGATGGCTCAAAGGTTAAGAGCACTGGCTGTCCTTCCAGAGGTTATGAGTTCAGTTCCCAGCAACCCCATGGTGGCTCACAGCCATCTGTAATGAGATCTGGCGCCTCTTCTGGTGTGCAGGCAGAGATGCAGGCAGAGCACTTGTATACATGATAAATACATCTTTAATAAAAAACCCATGCATGTCCAGTTTAAGCATCTCATATACATGAGAAAAATGGAACCAGTTCAGTGGAAGGGTTGTTTGGCACAAAGCTCTAGGTTCAGTTCCCAGCATGAGAAAAGGGAGACGTTGGGGAAGGTAGAGGGAGAGAGGGCGAGGGCAGAAGGAAAAGCAAGCTGTCACTTAGCCTCCCGGGGTTTTCCCCACCTGACCAGCTATCTTTTCATTGCTCCACCAGATGAGAATTTTCTTTCCAAACTACCACTACCTACGTAGAGTTAAGGCCAGACTCATCCTTTCATAATTTGGTCAGGTACACGTTTCTTTCAACAAGTTGTTCTGTATGGAATGCTGAAAATCAATTGCCTTACATACCCAGCATTTGAGCAGATACCTATTGGCCAACAAGGACCATTCCAGGCACTGACTGCATGTCCCCAGCAAAGCCACTGTGGAACAACAGCTCTGAAGTGATGGTGTGAACATACCAGGGCAGTTCCCACTACGTTTAGTGAAAATGGGAACCCCTAAGTCCTGATGCTTGACAACATTGGCCCCATTACCTGATACAGCTACGCCAAGAACCATGAGGTGTCCTGAAAGCCTCGGTCTGCAGTGAGGTTTTATCATGCAGCACTAAGCTGTCAAAAACAAAATAAAAACCTAGCACACAACCAAAAGCCAACCACATGCTAATGAAATAATGGAGTGTATGACATTGCACATGGCAGCCAGGAGGTAACTGCTAGCATCTGAAATGGCTTTAGCTGTCCAGTGAGGAGAGCGCTACCTCCTTACTGACCGACATCGGCACATCTGAATTTTATGCCCATGTCTCTTTTTTCTTCTTATGAGACAGGTTCTCACTATGTAGGTCAGGCTGAACTCAAACTCACCCTCTATCTCCTGAGTGCTCAGATTATGGCCACCCGTACCTTTTCTTTCTTCTTTTGAAAAAAAGGGACATAAGCCAGGTGTGGTGTACATGCCACTACTGATCCCAGAACTTGGGAGTCAGAGGTCAGGTGGATTTTTGTGAGTTCAAGGCTAGCCAGGGTTACACTGTGAGACCTTGTCTCTAAAAGGGGGGTTGGAGGACACAATCATAAACTAATTGGTGGTTGCCCTTAGGTGGAAGGCTAGTTTGAGACATCCTGTAAACAAAACCAACCAAGCAAAAACGACAAAAATACTTGGCTGATCCGAAGGACCGGTTGTAGGATTTTTCTAAGAAAACTCGTTCATCCGATTCAACGAAGGCTGTCTCTTCTAGTTATGGATTAGCGAGCCTTCAGATTTTTATTCCCTATAAAAACTCAAAATCAGCTCACAGATAGTCAAAGTGTTGGTGCTTCTGGCCTCGGGGCCTCATCCACCCAAAAGCAAACATCCTTCTCCTACCACTTTAATGAAGATCATAAGGCTTCCGCAGCCCACCTCGGAGGCAAGAAACAAAGAGGTGGGGAGGCCTTCCTAAGCCTCGTGCTTACAATTAGAGAGTTCAAGACCATGGCGGTGGGGTGCACGAGAGCTGCCGATGGGTTCAAGAGCAGTATCGCACCTCCACCTCCAAGCGCCCAGGGGCTCCCCCAACATCCTTTTCGCATCTGCCTGGAGCGTACCGGCTGGACGCCCTAAACTAGGGCCTGGTAAGTTTAAGGTTTAAACAAGTGTGTAAAGCAAACCCAGAGCGTCCAGGCTAAGGGCCCGGCCACGCCCACCAGGCCACGCCCCAAAAGCGAGCACGCGCCCGCCTCCGCGATGAATGGAGGCGCGCACTCGGGGAACACAGGCCCGCTCCCGGGCTCGAGCCGGCGAGCCGCTGCCCTGCCGGGAAGGCGACAACGCGCCGCGGGCTACCTCGGAGCCGATCATGTAGAACTCGCCGTCGTCCTCCAGCTGGAACTTGACGGGCTTCTGCCCGAAGGTCTTGCTCAACGCCATCATCATCATGGCGGCAGGGGGAACCGGCAGCCGGGGTCGAGCGGGAAAGAATCCGGTGGGCTGGGGCGGGGCCGAGGTGCGTTGGACCGAAGGGAACGGAGGCCGGGAGGTGAAGGGCGGGCAGGGCAAGCAGAGCGGGCGGGCGCTCGTGTCACTACTGGGCTCCTTAAGCGGCCGCTGAGACAACGAGCGGGCCACCCTCCTCCGTGCGCATGCGCGGGGGGAGTGACGCCAACGTGCGGGCCGCCGCCTGCGCCACACAAGGCGGAGCGCGTGCCCGCGGGCCCTTAAAGGAACCCCAGCGCTTTTCGCTCCCGGGGCTTCCCCCACCCCGGAGTCCTTTATGAAAGAAGACTTCTCAGCGACATAAATAGCCAGTGAGGCCCCGACTTGGGCGGTGACTTTCCTAGTCGCACAACCAGGGCTGGCACTCAGCCCCGGGGGTGAAGAAAAGAAATGAGACGGTAAGCGAAGAGAAGGACCGCTCCATTGGGAAGCCTGAGGGAGTCTGGGTGGGCATGGCGACCCCAGGCTGGCAGCTCAGGTCCTCCACCCGAAAGTGCTCTAGGAACAGCTGTCTCCACTGCAGGCCCGGATAGGGATGGGAAGAATGACGGTACTGGATGGAGGTTGGTACTATTCAAAGATCAGGTGCTGTCAGGTGGACAGGAAGGACCGCTTGCATCCTCCCCTTAGCCCTCTCTGCAAGCCTGGTGCCACAAGCCCAGCCCTGCTCCTTGCCTCTGCCCACTTGGGCCTTAACAGCCCTGAAGAAAGTCAGTGCCGCTGGAAGATGTCCACCCTCTGTGGAACAGAACAGTGACTCAAAATGTTTGAGTAATGTTTATTGTAGCACTGTTACAAGAGCTAAGTTATAGCCCAGGCTAGGTAGCTATTCAGCAGTAGAAGAATGGATAAAGACAATGTGGTATAGGCCAGGTATTGGTGGGACAGGCTTTTACTTCCAGCACTTGAGAGGCAGAGGCAGGTAGATTTCTGTGAGTTAGAGGCCAGCCTGGTCTATATCGTGAGCTCAAGGACAGCCAGGGCTTTGTAGAGAAACTCTGTCTCAGAAAACAAACAAACAAAAAACAGACAAAGAAAGTGAAATGTGTTGTGTACACTACGGAGTTTTTTTAAGCCATAAAAACAAAATTATATTAATTGCAAAAAAATGGATGCAACTGGAGATAATCATATTAAACAAATTAAGCCAATCTCAGAAAGATAAATGTGTTTTCTCTTGTGGTTTCTAGATTTTTTAATAGACACATAAATGATGTATTACACAGAACATGAAAGTAAGAGTGACATTGTGTGTGAGCAGAGGGACTACCAGGAGCTGGAGGAGAGGTCAGGGACATGCGGGAATGTGCAAAACAAACACTTGTATGAAAGTTGAGAAGCAGCCGGGCGTTGGTGGCACACGCCTTTAATCCCAGCTCTTGGGAGGCAGAGGCAGGTGGATCTCTGTGAGTTCGAGGCCAGCCTGGTCTACCAAGCAAGTTCCAGGACAGCCTCCAAGACAATACATAGAAACCCTGTCTCGAAAAACCAAAAAAAAAAAAAAAAAGGAAGTTGAGAAGTAAACAGTGGCCAGTTAATGACACGGTGACTGTTTCATGAGTCTGTCTAATGAGATTGCAGTTGTGACAGAGTCACTATGAAGGAGATTCGGAGAGCTGGGAAGGGCCATGGCAACGGTGAGTTGTGTCCGCCATTCTCACAGCCACGGGAACCAGAGTCTTAAGGGCCAAGCATGGAGGCTCACACTTTTAATCCTCACACTCCGGGACCCCAGAGTCCTAGGCAGGCAGATCTCTGAGTTCTAGGACAGCCAGGGATCTATGAGACCATGCCTACCCCCAACCCCCAAAGGAGAGGGTAGTTTAGGCGTGATCATATAAAATGACCACTGCTTTGGAGGATCATGTAAAGGACCAGATGAGGATACAGGCAGCCATTTTAAAAGCCACTGATGGTGCCCCTCTCCACTTGTGCATTAGTGGAGTAGGAAAAGCCCTAAGCATTGGTCCTAGCACCAGGAAACAGTCTTGGGTGGTGAAGGGTTTGACTCTAGCTCCCAAATCCTGACTGCAATTGCAAAGAGAAACCAGACAGACACTTAGAAAACACTCATGTTTAATGACGGTCTCGGCTTTAAAAAAAAGAAAAGAAAAGAAAAGAAAGGCTTTACACACTGTATACACATTTACATGGCTTTGGAAGGTACCTGTGCTAGGAAAGCCCCCCCCCCCAGGAAGAAATGGCCCAGGGCAAGGCTGTGAGGTATGTAGGGGCCTCTGAGGTTCAGAGTCTCCCTGGGGAAGCAGCTGCCTCCCTGGCTGGCTGGCTGGCTGGCTGGCTGGCTGGCTCTGTACCTTTTGGCTGGGAAATACATCTCTGACTCACCCGCCAGAAGGCAATCAGTCTAGCATCTCCCCAGAGTTGACTTATCAGGAAGATGCTACCCTGAGGCCCAGCTACTTGGCTAGGGCAGAATGGTACCCTGAGCATCTCCTCACTAACCACTACCCACAGGAACCTCAGTACAAAAATAGAATGAAGACACTGTGGTCCCCACATTCCTTCGGAGAGGTTCTGCTTTGAGGGGCAGAGATGAGACTGCTGGCAGCCAGGTTGGCCATAATCTACATAAGTGGTATATTGTTGGCCCAAGATCTCCCTTATTAAGTCATGCCAAAGCCTTTGCCCTGTCTGAGACAGTCGCTGACAGGTGACCATGACCAGCATGGCCCTCCTTGCAAATGGTGCCATAAAAACCAACCCACTCCCCTGAGGAGACATAGGCTCTGTCTATCCCATGCCTGAAGCTGCAAAGATGGCGACTGTGGGTCTCTTTAATAATATAAGTGACCTGGCAGGGGTCAGTAGCCCTGAGTGCGTCCAAGGTGTCAACGGAAAGTATTGGCGGGTTCTGCACAGTCAAAGAAGTCAGGGCCTATAAGGCGAGGAAAGCCCTCCAGAACCTTCACCTTCACAGGGTCAAACTTCCAGTAGAGATGGCCACGCAGAAAGTAGGCATAGCCTGAGGAGAGAAGGAGGTCGGGCTGGGTAAGGAGATACAGGGCTCTGCACCTGCCTGTCAGGCTAGGCCTGAGGAAGGACATTGTGCGGAGTGAGCAGGCCATGGCCACTCCTGGAGTCTTTGGAATCTGCACAGCTGGGTAGGGTGGCTTTCATGTCTGTACTCCCTGCACTCAGGAGGAGAAAGAGTTCAAGGGCATCCTTGGCCACATAGTAAGTTTGAAGTCAGCCTGGGCTACATTTATTTACTTCCTTTGCCTTCAAAACAAGGAAATAAATGTGCAGACTCCTGAGCTGGCTTACCAGAACCTCCTTTCCCTTCAGGGAGCCCTTCTGCCTGCCCCATAGGGTCTGGTCCAGTAGGTACTGGGAACCTCAGCTCAGGAAAGCAAGTACTGCTTCCGGTACCAAGCTCCCCATCACTTCCACACCTGCCCACAGACCACAAAAACAATACCAGAGGTAGAGAGCTTGCCGCTATTCAGAGTAGTTCTCCCAGTAAGTCCCTGTGCGAGTGAGCACTGAAGCAAAGGAGAGCAGAAGCAAGAGAGCACTGGGCTTGCCTCTAGTTCTCTGCACTGTAGGGGGAAGCCTGGTGTGTTGGGGAAGTCTTATGTCAATAAAGCACTGTCTGGCCAATAGGAATCTAGATAGGTGGGACTAGGAGTCCAGGAGGACTCTGGGAAGGAGAAACACAAGAGAGTTCGAGATGTAACCGCCATGGGGTAGAAAGCCCGGAACTATTCTCCGGTAAGAGAAATACTTAGATTAACAATTATGGGGTAATTACTTAAGTCAGAGCTAGCCAGTAAGAAACAAGCAAGGCCAACAGCTTCATAATTAATATAGCCTTCTGTGTGTTATTTGGGGACTACAATGCAGCAGAGCCCAGGCGACTGGCGAGTGATAAACCAAAGCGGCAAGCAAAGAAAAAGCTTCTCTTAACACTGGTGGTCCAATGGTTAGGTGCAGTGACTGATGGGAATCCTGGCTCTCCCATTGTTCATCTGGTATGGTTAGTGACCTCACCGCTGGTTTTTCTGATTGACCCTCTGAAACTACGCCAGCAAGAGCTGTTATGGCCAGACATGGAGGTGCACTCTCTGTATCCCAGCATGTGGAGGTAGCAGCAGGCAGATTTCTATGAGTTCAAGCCTAGCCTGGTCTACATGGCAAGTCCCAGTTTAGCCCAGGATACATAGTAAGACCCTGCCTCAAGCAGAGCTGTTGTGACATCAGAAGGCTGTTCTGAGAGTTGTTTGAGACAAGTAAGGACTTGGCGCTGTGCCTGAAGTATTGCTCTTGGTAAGTACTGGCTGTGGCCAAGGGACCTGGGCCAGTCCTTGTACCTCTAGGGCCTTCAGTTTGCAATATGGGTCATAACACTGGTTGGCCACCAGGAGGGGAGATGGCGCTAGACAAAGGACCTGTGAGGATGAGCTTGGACTCATGAAGTCTGAGGTGGGGGTCGGGGTGAAGGACCTGTGAGGATGAGCTTGGACTCATGAAGTCTGAGGTGGGGGTCGGGGTGGGGAACAACACACAGGATGACAGACACTACTGTGTAGAAGTGTGAGGGCTACCACACCCACTTCCCTCCAGCTACCTCACCCCTAACTCACCCTCAGCATCCTGGAAGGCAGCATCAATCTCAGAAGGTACCCCTCGCCAGTCAGTGGCACGTCGGGGCACAGGATTGTCCACACGTTGGGTTCTGGGGTGGAAACGCCAATAGTCTCCACCTCGGAAGAAGTAGATCTTGTTCTTCTCAGGACCCCAGACCAAGGCAGCATGGACCGGGGAACTCTGAAGTCCCAGCTCGGAAAGCGGTTCAGGGCCTAAGAATGGCTTCTCACCATCATATACCCAATACTGGGTACCTGCCAAGAGAAGATGCTTCCAGCTGCTGCCAAGTCACCACTGCCATGCTCAGCAGCTGTAGATCTGCTTGGTCACCATCAAGGGATCTCCCAGACCTGTTTCTTTTGTTTGCAAAACATTGCTGGCCTATAGTGCCTCCCCAGCAATTGTACCCCACGGGGGATGTTAGGACCAGCTGGGATGAGCTAGGTTGACAAGAAAGATAAGCTTGGGTTCAATGAGCCCAAGGTAAGGTTATTCTGGTCAACAGAGGGCTGCCCGCTGCAGCTGTTTGTGGACCACCCTGGATCCCAGCCCCACCTGAAGCAGGCCCCTTGGCTGCCTTGGAATGTACATACAGGGTTCCCATGCCTCACCTGTGTTTATGAAGTCCTGCCACCTGGAATGTTCTAGGTTGTCACCTCTGCCAGATGAGAGTTGAAATCACAGACTCCAGGGGTACAGTGCCTACATCAGTTTCCTGCTCTTCTTAACCAAGCTGCACACCTCACTTGAGCCATTCTCCCTCAGAGCCTAAATCCTTCCTCATCTCTGAAGCCCCGCCCCACATGGTGGCTTTGGGGGTTGACCATATCAGCACGAAGCTGCAGAGGGCCAGACCCTCAGTGCTACTTGGATCTCAAGAGCTACCACCTCTGGCAGGACTCTCAGCTGTGCCCAAGGAGTGAGCCCCCACTCTCCCTCGGTTCTAAGTCCTCAGGGCCCCGTCTCCCCGCCCTCTGTGTCCCTGAACCCTCTGTCACTAGCCTCCAGTTTCCCCACTCACCTTGGAAGAACCAAATATGACCCTGGGCATCCTCAAAAGCTGCATCCACAGGGCTGGGCAATCCTTGCCAGTGCCGAGAGGCCAGAGCAGGATACCCAGGCTGCAGCTGCCCACTGCGCAGCCTCCACACAAAGGCCGCCTTGAAGAAGAAGAGCTCGCCTCGGATAGTGGAAACCGCGTCAAAGGAAGTCTCACAGACATCTGGTGGGGTTTCCGGCTGGGTGGGATACAGGAGCCAGAAAAGAACACATACTGGAGCCATAAGGCCAGCAGGGTGGGCAGAGGGTACGGGGACAGCGCCTTACCTCAGTCTTCCCACCCACCCTTACCTCCACCAGGGCAATCTCGTTGGTATCTATCCCAGCCTGGGAGCCTAAGGCTGGGGCTTGGGAGGTAGGGGCCAGCTGGGGCCGGCCGTAGAGGTGCTGGATGCCCCTCCGGTCATCTGGGCTGAGGCTCAGTGGGTATCGGAAGGTGTAGAAAGGGGACATAAGGGCCTTAGATGCTGTGGTGTGTTGCAGACCCAGCACATGGCCAAATTCATGAGCTGCCACTTGTAGCAGGTCTGTGCCTGGACCTGGAAAGGGGGATGGTTAGTTAACAACCCCCACCTCCTGCCACCAGTTGCCAAATTCATCTCTAGACCCCAACTTAAGTGCTCCCTTAAGTTGCCTCATCTGGAAGATGGGTCTGCAGCACACACCTTGGTTGTCCCCAATAGTCCAAGTTTCATCATAGTCAAAGTGAACATCTCCTTCTCGATGGGTCTTAGGGAAGAAAGCATGGGCCAGAATGCCTCCAGGCCCATCAAACGGCAAGTTGTCCCCATGCCAGTACCTGGGGGTGGGGGTGGGGGTGGGGCGGGGCGGGGCGGGCAGAACACAGTCAGAGGCTGCTGACAATGAGCCATGTTCCCAGAAAGGTCCCAGGCCACAGATTTCACCTGGCGAAGTCAATCATGATGTCAGCGCGTCCCTCGTGCACCTCGGTGAAAGTGAGGGGCGTCACCTCGCTCCACACCTGGAGAGCCTCTGCCACCGTCCGCTGGACCTGCTCCCTTACAAGCTGCCATGGGAACCGGAGGATCCTGGGGGGAGGTGGAGGGGCCTGGGCATGGGGCAAGGAAGCCCCTGAGGACTGAGGAGCCAAGCTTCCCCTAGAGCTGAGAGTGGTGACTCATGCCTTTCTCCCCGGCACTGGAGAAGCCGTGGTGGGAGGGTTTCTGTGAGCGTGAGGGAGGGTTTCTGTGAGCGTGAGGCTATCTGGGCTGTTATTCGAGAGCCTGTCTCCCCACCTCCCCACCAGGAAGGCCTGTTGCCCTTGGATGGTCGATGGGCATTTGCACGCAGGGCTGCAGTCAGGAGTGTCCTGGGTCTCATGTTCAGGGAACTGTTTCCAGACATGGGTTCACCTTTGTATGTAGGGCTGTGTGTGTTTAGTAGACACACTGAATAGAAAGGAAACAAGGTCAGGGGTCCCGAGGCCTGACACTCTAACTCACTGTGAGGAGCCTTGTACTGGAACTTGGTTCCCCAACCAGGAAATTCTGTGTCCCTACCCCAGCTCCAGTGCCATGTGACCCTTCTCGGGCTAAGTCTTAGCTTCCTCACCACCTGCTGAGGGACCCACGACATCACCAATAAGGAGTCCACCATTACTCGTGTCCACCTACAAAAGGCCCAAGTTGTTATGACAGATTTGAACAATCTACCAGGGCTGTGGCTCTGTCCCATTCGCTACCAGTCCCTAGTCTGAGCCTTATTATAGGTATCTACTAAAGTCTGTCTGAGTGTCCGAAATCTTCCTTCAGGCATGCATCGAGGCTCTTCTGGGTTGGGAGAGAGCCTAATCTGCATGTGTCTAGACCAAGGTTATTGGTCCATGAATGGCTGGGGGAGGAAGGTCAGTGGGCATGCAGGTAGGTCTGTGTGCTGTGTGAATGTGGCCTTGGGCATCTTGGGGTTAAAGTTTAAGGATAACATGCAGTCCTGCTCCCCCTGCCCTCTGGTCCCTACCTATAGGTGAGGTCTGTCTTCTCCCAGCGCCCTCCTGACAGTACGAAGCGCTTCTGTCGGTTTCGGGCATTCAGCACATCAGGTGGGTCAGGCACACCACATCGTGGAGGTCTGGAGCTACTAGCAGGACTAGGGACCCAATGGGATGCAGGGGCAGATGTCAAGCTATTAGTCAGAGCTGCATGCGGGAGCTGAGGTCCTCTCTTCCCAGGGTGGTGATGGTGGCTATCCTGGGCAAGAAAAACGACGTAAGAACCAAGTTAGCTCAGATCGCCTGGGCCTAAGGTTTGAGGTGTAGTTCTTTTTTTTTTCCCCTTGGTTTTTCGAGACAGGGTTTCTCTGTATTGTTTTGGAGGCTGTCCTGGCCTCGAACTCACAGAGATCCACCTGCCTCTGCCTCCCGAGTGCTGGGACTAAAGGCGTGCACCACCAATGCCCGGCTGAGGTGTTGTTCTTTAACACAGCCTGCTTAGCCCACTGGATTGCTGGGCGAATGGAGGAGCTGGAAGGTATGCTGGCCCAGGGCTGGATCCATTAGCCTTAGGTCGAGCCTCTGGTTTCCTGATACTTGTTCCAAGGCATCAAGCTCTCTCATCTTCCTCCTGCCCTGCTGGAGGGACCTGGGCTGTCTGTCACCAGCTCCTGTCCAAGCTCAGGAGGTCTAGATGGGAACACATTGAGACTAGGGGACCATGAGCCTATGAAGCCCTAACTGCAGTCTCCAAGCATACCCAGGAAGTTCCTGAGGATGCTCCTATGACCCTCCCTCAGCATGGAGGGGCTGCAGCCTGCAGTGTGGCCTTGGGCTAGCTTACCTAACAGATGGGGATGGAGACTCCCAGGAATTGCTGCCTGGAGAACACAAGGTGAGGTCCGTTGAGCACTTAGCACAGGCCTTGAGCACCAGGTAACTGAGGTTGGATTTCCCTTTCTGTGGTGTACGTAGGGGTGCTTGGTAATCGATTTCAGGGCTGACTGTACTCGTGCTCTACTACTGAGAAACACCCCATCCGTGTGAGGCCCCAGTTCCAGTGGAGACACTTTTGCTCACACCCCTCCAGATCTGTGATCTCCTGCCCATTTGATGCAGGGGGTCTAGGGACAGCCAGTTCTCACCCTGTCAGTGTCTCAGGACGACTGATGGCAGCGGTGGCCAGAGCTGAGTTTTCCCACATTCTTCCCATATCCTCTCCCAAGGGACAAGGTTGCAATTCTCTTCCTTGGGAAAGTTACAAAGCACCTGCAGCCTCCCAGGTAATTTTCAAGGGTAAGTTGCCACCTGGGGACCCCCTAGTGTCACAGTGAAGATGTGGATGTGGTTCTATATGACCAGCCACAAGGGCCTATGCAACCTGGCCAGCAGGAGAGACAGATTCTTCTATCCAGCTCTAAAAGGGAGAGTCTAGTGACCCTCTCAAAGAATGGCAGGGTGGCCGGGTGGTGGTGGCGCACGCCTTTAATCCCAGCACTCGGGAGGCAGAGGCAAGTGGATCCCTGTGAGTTCAAGACCAAGCCTGGTCTACCGAGCGAGTTCCAGGACAGGCTCCAAAACAATACAGAGAAACCGTGTCTCGAAAAAACAAAAACAACAAAAAACAAAACAACAACAAAAAAAGAATGGCAGGGTGTCTTCGACCCCCAGGAGCCCCTCCCAGCTCAAAGTCTAGCCTGTCTGCTTGGTATCTCTTCTCTGCCAGGGGCTGGCAGAGGCACCATGAAAGGACGAAAGGAAAAGGAGATGCATGGCCCTTCCCAAATTCACCAAGGTCCCTTCAACATCTCTCCCCTCTCTGTGAGACACCAAGGTCATGACCAGAAGCTGTGGGCTGAATTCTAGGCACCGGTGGCCTGGATGTGTCACTGTCTCTGCTGAACTGCAGTGTCTCCATCTTTCAGACGGCAGAAGACAGAGCTGAGAAGCACCCTGTAAACCCTACAGCAGCATCTTACCCGGAGAGTCTTTCCCAGACTCTACCCCCTTAAGCCCTGTACTCACACACTTGGGACTCTCCTCTTCCCAAATTCCCAGTCCTTTCAGGGTTCCTGGAATCCAGTGAGCTAGACGGGTAAGCTCAGAAAACCCCTGGCTTCGTCTATAGCTCTGGAGAGCGTGGGGAGCAGTCATCAATGTTATCCTAAATGCCCAGCATCCCAGAGCAGGAACAGAGTCCAGAGAGGTTAAAGACTTAACCCGGGGTCACACAGCAAGCCAGACAAGAGCTGGGCTCCAACCTGGGGCTTACGCCTCTCCTCCTCAGAGCTCACCCCCACCCCATCAGCTTGGCTCATCTCCAAGGCCCACATTCCTAAGAAGCATTTCTGTTTCTAGTGCACTCCCTCTTTCTCAGCAGCCTTCCCTTGGCCTGCCCTGTGGAGGGGCTTGACTCACTCAGCCCCACCCTCGTCTGGCCAGGCAGCTACCAATCTACAGCCTCAGACACACTCAAGGGACTCTAGGCTGACCCAGTCTCCTGGCTCAGACATTCAAGGTCAGTCCAGACCACGGGAGGAACCTAGTGGAAGGTGGATAAGGAAAGGCCCCAGACTGGGAAGCCACGCGGGAAGGCCAGGCTGGTGGTGTCCGTTCCTAAACCTGTTTGCCTTTGATGCCAGCAACCTTGAGAGGCAGTCACTTAGTTAGGCTATGATGAGGCAGGGGAGCATCAGAGAAGGCAAGGAAACAGCCAAGTCACGCACTCCCTCCATGGGTACACAGACTCCCCTCCTGTCCTTGTGTTTCTCTCTAGTCACCCCCTTTCCACCCCTCCCCCACTAACTCCAGAAGGGAAGGCAGCTTCCTGGGCGCTAGGCTGTGGGGCTTTCACCAACTCAGAAAGCTGGGGGCTGGGCTGAATAAATATTTACAGAACTCTCTTGGCCCTGCTGGTGGTGGCAGTCTAGGGACAAAAACACTTGAGGGGACCCTCTCTGTGCATCTATAGAGTGATGGCTCCTCAGCTGACGTCCTACCCCAGGCCTGCCCCCAGGTCCCGTGCAAGCGTCCGAGTGGCTACAGCTACAGTTGGCAACCCTGTCTCTCCAGTGTGCCTAACCTCATTGTATCCCGAATGCCCAGCAGTAGACACGGGTGCTCCCTCGTGCTCTGTCTCCTTATAAAGGAGTCAGGGGGAAGGCATTCATTCACGATTTCATGGTTCAAATTCAGACCTCTCCAGTTCCTAAATGTGTGAATTCAACCCATGGTGGCTTGGCAGGTAGGATTTGTGCGCGCGCGCGTGTGTGTGTGTGTGTGTGTGGGGGTGATGTTGGAGACTATGCTTCAAGTTCTAGGGCAGGGAACTCTACACTCTGCCTGAGGAGCTCCTGATCCACGAAACCCACCCCCTTCGATATCCATCCCCCTTCCCAAACCCTTTTGTACCCAAGGCCAGTGTGGGGCAAATCTGGCAGATGGACCAGTCCCAGAGCACCTGCTTGTCATACCTTTCTCCCATCATTCCCTGAGCTGGCTGGCTGCCCTCACCGGTAGGTATTGTAGGTCTGTGTGGTACCTGCTCCATCCCCAACCCAGCTTAGGTGCCTCAAAGACCAGCTTGGAGGGATGCAGCCATTGGGACAGGTGCCTCAAAGACCAGCTTGGAGGGATGCAGCCATTGGGACACAGGCTGTGAGTCCCTCAATCCCCTTCCTCCCCCTTTACCTCTTTCTCTGCACCCCTTCCTTTTCTCTCCCCGTGTTTTTGTCCCCTGAGGGTCTACAGCGCCCGGTTTCAGTGCTCCCTTTCATTCTGACTGCCACCTGATGCTCATGCACAGTCTCTCAGGGCACATTCTCTGCTGGCCCCAAGTCTCCCAAACTTGCCTCCTGCAGGTTGCAGCACCTCTCTCAACGTGGGCCTCATTTTCTCCTTCCCTAGCTCTTCCTTTATTCTCCATCCATTGTACACACCTTGCAGAGGTGCTCACCGGGGGCTGCCAGCCCCCAGCCCCCGCCCGGATTCCTGTGATGATCAAGGGGCCCTGGTACCCGCTCCATCTGCAACCTCTACCAACACACATTCCAGCATCCCTAGCTGAGGCTGGAGAAGCGGGTCCCCATGCTGAGTCCAGCACGCACATTTGCGCTTCACCAGCCGCATAGGCTCTACTTGCACACCCGCCAGCTACGGGAAGCTCATTATCCCGGCCAGAGAGACCCCAAAGGCATTTCAGTCACCGATTGCGCTAGGGTAGCTGGGACACTCGGTGGGTCAAGCTCAGCAAGTGGGCCCAACCCGCGTGCCCAGCCCTCCCTCGGGGAGGAGCGGCGGGCACTCACCGGTGGCCTGGCCCGGGCCATCAGCGGCGGTGGCAGTAGCAGCAGCAGTAGCAGCAGCAGCAGCAGTAGAGGAAGTTGGAGCAGGAGGGCGCGCGAGAACGCGCGGAGGAGACAGGCGGCCCGTGCCATCCGCCCCGGGGCTGCTGGGCCTGCTGGGCCGCACCGGGCCACCGCCCCTTATAGCATTCGCCCCGCCCCCGCCGGCGCCCGGACCGCACCCCCCACCGCCCCGCCTTCCCCTGCCTTTTGTTCTAAACTCAGCCGGCTTGCAACCCCAGCTTGGGTTAGGGAGGAGTGCCCAGAGGGCCTGGACCCCTAAGAGAGGGTGAGAGCTGCTCTCCAACCCCACTTTCAGAAGGCTCATCCTCTGCCAGATCTCCCTGGTGGCTTGACCTCTGACTTCTTTTAGCCTTTGACAGCCTCACAGCCCTAGTCAATCCTGGGAAAGTGGCACAATAGCTCACCAAACGAACCGGCTATTGAAATGTGGCCGAAGCTGGCCAGCCCCTCAGCTGAAAACAAACCAGAGACAGGTCCGGAAAGATGGAGCAGCAGTTAAGAGCACTTGTTGCTCTTGCAGAGAACCGGGTCCCATTCTTAGCACCCCCATGGTGGCTATCGTAGGATCTGATGTCTTCTGACCTCCAAGGATACTAGGCACACACTGATGCACATGCATGCATGCATACATACATACATACATGCATGCATACATACATAGATACATACATGCATACATGCATACATACATACAATATCAGACAGAGCAGTTACAGAGGATCTTGGAGGGAGAGACCAGATAAATGGGTCATGGCTGGGAGGAGAGGAGCATAGGAGAACGTCTGAGTGGGGCACTGGAGGCCCAGGTTGTTCGGGCCCTGGCCGACGGGCTTTTCCTGACCAGTCAGGCCCAGCCATCTGAGCCGTGAAGGAAGGAGAGAATCAAATGTGAGAGGGAAGTGTACATGCGGGAAAGGTTCATTCACTCTCATCTCTGCGGAGTGTGCATGTGTGTGTGTGTGTGTGTGTGTGTGTGTGTGTGGGTGGGTCCATGTAGGTGGACTTTCCCTTAGTCCACCAGCTCACAACGACATGGAGACTCATTAATTATGAAAACTCAGCCTATAGCTTAGGCTTGTTCCTCACTAGCTCTCACAGCTTAAGTAAGCCCATGAATATTAATCTGCATTCTACCACATGGTGGAGCCTCTTTTCCATCCTCCTCTCCTCGACTCCTGGAGTCTCCTGTGTGCCTAGGTTCCTCCTCCTCTTCCTGTCTCTCCCTGGAAACCCCCCCCCCCCCCGATATATCTCCTGCCTTGTTATTGGCCATTCAACCTTTTATTACACAAATCACAGCAATACGCCTTCCCACAGCGTACAAATATCCCACCTCGCAACTATGCTGTGTGCCGTCTTTGATGACAAGGGGACTCTATACCGCAATGGCAAGCCTGCAGAGTTAAGATTCAGGCAGGCAGGCAGGGCCCTGAGCCACTGCAAGGTTGGAGGCCATGGAGCACTCTGTTTCACTTGGCCATCAGTGGTCTTTTAAAAAACCCTCACCTTTGCCAGGCAGTGGTGGCGCACACCCTTAATTCCAGCACTTGGGAGGCAGAGGCAGACAGATCTCTGTGAGTTCGAGGCCAGTCTGGGCATGATGAGGCACATCTTTAATCCCAACACCTGGGAGACAGAGGCAGGTGGAGTTTGAGGTCAGTGTTGTCTACACAGTGAATTCCAGAACAGCTAGGCTGTCTCAACAAAACAACACCACCCCGGTGCAGGATCTGGAAGACAGATGTGTGCATTTATACACTCGGGCTAGCCACAGATGCCTGCAGAAGTGGATCTGGAGCAAAGCCTGGCATTTTTGGGGGTAAAGAGCGGCTCATCTTTTACCTGTTTGTCTCGTTGGGAAATTCACCCTGAAGATAGGTGATGACTCCATTTCAGATGTCCGGGGAGAAGAGAGCCTCTGTAGAGGCTGCTGAAAGAAACAAGGATTGGGCTAGGCAGTTGTGACTCACGCCTGTAATCCCAGCATTTGGGAGTCAGAGGCATGAGGATCTCAGTGAGTTCGAGGTCAACTTGTTCTACAAAGTGAGTTCCAGGACAGCCAGGACTGTTAACACAGAGAAAACCAATCTCAAAAAGGAAGGAAGGAAGGAAGGAAGGAAGGAAAGAAGGAAGGGAGGGAGGGAGGGAGGCAGTGTGTGGTCCTGAATAGTTTTGATCCCCTGGTCCTGAGACTTTTGCTCTATTGAATGTTTGGTGCTAGGTGATTTCTGCTGTTACAGTAAACACTGACAGAAGCGGGGAAAGAAGTTGATGGTCTATGTGTCTCTTCTTCCCTCCGAGGATCTGACAAACCCCTCGGGTTCTGCGATGGTGCTAACAGCAAGTCCAGCGCTCTGCTCTCTACACCTGCTTAAGCCTAGGGGCGTGCAACACTGGTCTCCTGGACCCAGGACCCTCAAAGCTCCTCCCCGCACTGGGATGGCTCGCCGCCCTAATCCAGAAGGTTACTGGAAGGGGGCGGCTTGTCCCTCCCGTTTTGGGGCGTGTCTCAGAGGCCCCGCCCCAGATCCCACCCTTTTCACCTGACTCGTAGCACGCTGCAGCGTTTGTTCCCCGCACGGAGCGGCTGCTGCGGTCCACGCTTCTTACTTTGGTCTTCCTTGGTCCTACCAGTGTCATGCCTCGGGGAAGCCGCAGCGCGGCTGCCAGGCCGGCCAGGTGTGAGGGGGACAGGGACCCGGTGGGGACGGGTGAGGGAAGCTTGGACTCGCCCAAGGGCGTCCGCAGAATGACCTTGGAGGCCGCTGCGCCATGTTGGCTTGGGGGAGGACCGGGGGTGCAGAAACACGAGTCTAAGACGAAGGTCGCCCTGGTCCCCGGAGCAGAGGGGCTTGTTCCCGGAGCATTAACCTTGCTTCCCCTTGCTTCCTGCAGCCGCCCAGCCCACCCTCCTGCGCACCCACCACCCTCAGCGGCCGCCCCGGCACCTGCCCCTTCGGGCCAGCCCAGTCTTATGGCTCAGATGGCAACCACCGCTGCTGGCGTAGCTGTGGGCTCAGCTGTAGGGCATGTCATGGGTAATGCCCTGACCGGCGCCTTCAGTGGGGGAAGCTCGGAGCCTGCCCAGCCTGCCGTCCAGCAGGTGAGCGAGACGACTCAACGGAAACGGAGGCAGGATTCTCTCGAGGAGACAAAAGGAACCGCTTAAGCGTCCAGCCAGGGGTGACCCAGTGTGTTCAGAGTTGCCCCGGGTCCAGACTTTGACCAAAAGAGGGTCCCAACCCCCATGGTTGTTAAACCCCAGCTCTCCTTTGCGGGTACAATGTCTGACTGCTAGAGATTGACACCCACTAGACCTTGAAAGATGGAGAAAACACAAGCTCAGATGAGCTCAGACTTGTCCAAGGACACCTAACCCTAGCTGAGCAGGGAGAGATGCAGTGTTTCCCAAGTCCTTGTGCTCACCGGAGCCCACCCTGCATCTGTTCCCTGGTGACCTGTGCCCCACTGGGGTTCTGCCACTTCCCACCAGACTTGAGCCAAATCCAGATGCTGGTTCTCAGTGTGAGTCCTGAGTCACGAGATACAATGTGACTGTGCTGTGCCTCAGAGTAGGGCAGTCACTCCGTGTGCACATGTAGTGTACAGCTTTTTCTAGAACCTTCTCTTCTCCTGCCTACATTTGCCCAGCATGTCCATTTTAAGGCAGAAAGAAAACCCCTGCTGCTGGTTAACCCTGTGCCAGGGATGCAGCTGAGACTGAACGGAGCTATCTAGTCCTGGTCATTCAGCCTGCCTTGAACCATCCTTGGGGGACCAGGGCTAGGGTTATGGGGAGAGGCAGGAAGCCTCCAACTTCGGTATTTGATATTGGATGCCAACCTTAAGCTGACAGTTTTGCCTCTCATACTCTCCCCTAGGCCCCTCCCCGTCAGGCCTCTCACCCCCTACAGATGGGGCCCTGCTCCTATGAGATCAAGCAGTTCCTGGATTGCTCCACCACTCAGAGTGACCTAACCCTATGCGAGGGCTTCAGTGAGGCCCTGAAGCAATGTAAATACAACCACGGTGAGCAGCTGGGTGGCCCTGGTGGGGTTGGGAGGGGCAGACCCCCCCCCCGTACCTGCTGGTCACTGGTCTGTCTTGTGTTTCCCTCACAGGTCTAAGCTCCCTGCCCTGAGGAGGCTGTGGGCCTGCTCTTACCCTAACCCCTCACCGACAGCCTGACCAAGTTGAGATTGTACCTGGAACTGGAGTAAGGAGGGTAACTCTCATCCCGCAGATTAACAAAAGACATCAATGTTCCATTAAAGAGTTTACTTTAGACCACAGCCTGCTGTGTGCCCACTGATTCCCTGTCTGGTGGGAGATGGGGTCAGGAGAGATGGGCGAATGGATGTCTCATGAGTGTACTGTACCTTGTGTGTGTGCGTGTGTGCGCGCGCGCGCACACTCGCTTGTAGAGAGAAAATATCTCTTGCTGTGTAACTCTAGGCTGCCCTTGAACCTCTGGGGAGGGGGGGAGGAACCCTGCTATAATCTGCATGTGGCTAGCTAAGGACAGATTACTCTGAGGATCTCTAAGTAGGGGAGAGGGGTGAGACATTTGCAAATGACCCAAGGCCTTAGCCCCTGAAACCTCAAGAGGAGTCTGCTGTCTGCGCCACCGGGACATCTGCCCCTCACTCTTCTTGTTTTTGTCCTTGGATCCTTTTCCCTGTACTGGAATGTGTTGGGGGGGGGGGGCTCTTGCATCCTGTCTGTGACCTTTTCCTTCTTGCTGATGCAACTTCTTAGTAATGCCAGATTCTGAAAGAGGAGTGTCGCTGGACCGCTGTCTGTTTGCAGTTGATCATAATGCAGAGGTCAGGGCCAGTCCCCTTGGATCCAAGTCTAGCTGGGCCACTTGGCTGTGGTGCGCTAGGTCATAGGACCTCCTGAAAAGGAAGTGGGCCCTTCAGACCCCAGCACACACTGTTGCTACTTTCACTGGGTTTAGTCAGCAACTATGCATTGAGCACCTACGCTGTACCAGGCTGGAGAAATGGGTACCAGCTTCCTAAACTCAGAGCATTTCGATATCTGCCTTTAGGATGCTCATACTCCAGCAGGATAGTGGGGCTTATCTCTAGGTACAATGTGTACTGTTCTGGGTGTGTATATGTGTGAAGGCTGTACGCCTCAGCACCCATGTCCCCCGGAAGGGCTCCCTTCTTTGGATCTTCTGAGTTTCTGTACCTGGCTCTGGCTCCAGCTAGCGGTTTCTAGATGGTAGGGAGGCCACCCTCCGAGACCTTGAAAGGGGACCGTGTTCCCGGTGGCCACACCGAATGCCTGTGCGTCTTCTCTGACTGTTGCTTGTGCCTGGAAAGCCGGAGAGCCAGCCCAGCTCCTCTGGAAGACCCGGGAAATCCTGTTGCCGGGAGCTGGGTAGATTTGTTCCACCCCCACTTATTTGATACATACCCGCTAACTCCGGACACTGGTCATCTAAGTTGTCCAGTAGGGATTCATAGTGAGTGGGGGTCCCATCTTTCCCTTTTGCAGAGTATAGAGAGAGCAAAGGACCATAGGCTGGCTTGGTGGTCCCCATATAAAACTGGCCTAGGCTTGAGGTCAGGACAGGCATTGGATGGGGATGGTTGGGTATAGGACTCAGCCAAGGTTGAGGCTTACGAGGATCTTAGCTTGCCTGTGGCCTGCTGTCCCTCCCTTAGAGTCCAACACAGCTACAAAGGAGAATCTTGGGCCCCACTTACTAATGACCTGCACCAGGATATAGGTCCCTTGCTCCTGTAGCAGGGAACAGGCCATGGAGGGGGCCTGGGCGATCTCCTCTTCCAGACTCACCAGGTGCCCGTCTTCAGCCAGAAGAGCAATGGTTACTGGGCAGAAATGGGAATAAGCTGGGTAGGTTGCACCTGGACATGGGACCCTCAGTCCTTTCTCGCCAGGCCCTCTAGGTCTTCTCACCTTCTGGAGGGAGCTGAGCCTTCTGTTTCAGATGCTTAATGAAAGTCACCAGGCTGCACCAGGGGTTCACCAGCACCCGACAACCAGCTAAGGGAGGGGCATAACTGAGCAGGTAGGATGTCACTGCCTCCCCCAACTCGGAGAACTTTCACTCTCAAGCTTAGAGGCGACACTAGGGTTATGGCACTAGTACTGTCCTCCAGGCCCTCGGCAAATGCTGCTCGAACCGCATTGGAGACCCTTCCATCCATCTCTTGCTGTGTACTGAAGTCCTCCCAGCCTCTGGCCCTGCCGCTTGTCCTGGTATTGCTTTGCTGCCTCATAGGACCAGCTTTCTTAAATTCCCATGCTCCCTCCCAGCCTGTATCGCTCCTTCCTAGGTCTCTAGGACGAACGCCTCTGAGTATGGTCCCTATGTTGTGGGACAGAGGACCCTGCTTACCTCCAAACATCACAGTGATAAACATGGTTGCAGAAAGAAGAGGACAGACAGATCATGGCTCTCTGAACCCCTCCTGCTGTTCCCTTCCACAGCTGCCACCTGGGCACTGTGCTAAGTAGGTGGCCTTGGCTCCTGGCTCACCCACTTGCTCAGCTAGTCCAGGACCACTGGCCTCCTCTTTCTTCCGCTGCTTTCTGGGTGCCAGCAGCTCCTTCAGCTCCCAATGGTCTCCATGGCAGTGGGAGCTGCCAAGACATCTAGGCAGGAAATGCTTTATCCCCTGTATCCTGGTAACTGGACCTTCTGGGGCGGGCCTTCAGGTGGAGCTCTGGTCAGGCGCGGAGTAGAGGCTGAGGTCCCTAGGATGCCCAGATACAGTTTCAGAGACCCCATCCCTGACCGGGGAGTGAGAGTGTGCAGGCTGCAGAGATGCGAGCATCCTCCCTCACCAACGGCTTCTTCCCGTGCGGCTTCCCTTTCCTCTCTCCCGGCTTCCAGTTATTTTCTTCTGTTCCTGTTTCCTTCTGTCTCCTGGTAGTCACATTTATGCAGGTGTGATGTATGTTCCCCCCCACTGGAATGCTCAAATCAGAAAAGAAATATTTATACTTACTTTTTTGTCTGCATCTTTGTATGTTTGCATGTACACGGTTGCATATGTGTGGGGGTCAGAGAACAACTTGTGGGAACCGGTTCTCTCCTTCTATCTGGTGGGTCCCAGGGATTGGTTGTCAGGTGAGGTGACAAGCTCTTTTCCTTACTGAGCCATCTTGTTGGCACTGTTTTGACAAATCTCCGATTACCACAACCAGGATACAGAATGTTTCCATCACCCCTTTCCATAGGTGGTGACTCTTTGAAATTGTGAGAACAAAAATAGTGCTTGAGCCAGGAGGTGGTGGCGCACGTCTTTATTTCCAGCACTCCGGAGATAGAGGCAGGCAGATCTCTGTTCGAGGCCAGCCTGGTCTACAGAGTGAGTTCCAGGACAGCTGGGGCTTCATAAACCTTGTCTTGGGAAACAAATGGGGGGGGGGGGGAAGAAAGAAAGAAAGAAAGAGAGAAAGAGAGAAAGAAAGAAAGAAAAGTCCTTCCCCTCCACCCTCCTCCAAATAACTAAAGCTGAATGAGTACAGTTGGGAATTTTATGCAGGTGTGTCTAATGACAGGAATTAACCACAAAAGACTGCCACAACCACAACTTGCACAAAGGCCACCACAGCCTTACACAGAACACGCCTGCAATGCCATCCACCCAGCAACTGTGCATTTAGTCTTGGACTCGGGCCACTCTTGTTATTGATCCTTGTAGCCAAGGATTATTGTTTCAAAATACCTGTGTAATTCATTTCACCTTTAAATACTTCCTCTTGCTTCAAGCCTCCTCGTGTGGCTCCTAGTGTGCTACCGCAGGCTATCTTCCTCCTGCAGTGTTACCTTAGTTCCCCAGGCCCCCTTCATCCTTAGAGGCTCCCTGTCTGTTGTTGGTGTCCGTATGATAGGCTCTATTCCCTGGCATCCACAGTTGTTTCCTACATATCTTTTCCAGACTGCCTCATAAGTGGGCCCAGAGCATACGGCCTGCAGTATCTTCACTCAACAAGATCCAGGCTGCTGGCCTCAGTCCTTGTTCCCCTCTTAAACTGAGGAGCGTTGAGTCGTTTGTGTGTCCAGGAACGGACTCACTCGTTCACCTGCCGTTGTTTTGGAGTTTGGGGAGATTATGAATAAAGCTAGTATAATCTTTTGTCCTCACGCTCTTGGGGGAGCGGTTCACATTTCTCTAGTCTGGTGAACGCCACGAGAGAACTGCAGGGTCATCTGGTGAATGCGTTTTCTGATTTGTTTTTGCCTTGTCTTGCTTTCTGTCTTTTTTTTTTTTTTTTGGGAGGGGGCCTCTGGGCCTCCTAGATCTACAGAAACACCTGCTTGTTATTCCTCACTACAAGTTACTGCCCCTGCTACACCCCCCCCCCCGGCAGCTTCCTTCGTATCCAGGGACTCAGAGATGGCAGGTGCCACCGCTGAGTTGTAATCCCAGGTCACTGGGCAACTCTGGCTTTCACTCCTAGTCCTGCATTTGCCTGTCTCCCGTTCTCCTCCTCCCTGTCTCCTGTGTTCTACATCCTCACACTCGAGTGTTTCGTTTTCCATCTCTGTGGTTATCCTTTGATTTTTTTACTCTTTTCCATTCTCCCACATTGCTCCCCATCTGGCTGCTTTTAGTGTTCTGTCTTCTCTCTACTAGAACCCTGCAAGCATAGCCCCGTGGTTAGGCTGTTTGCGCTGCCTTCTGCAGACACATTTCTGGATGAGTAAGTTGGATGAAATCTGGGTCCTCCATCTAGCTCACCACTGACCCGTTTTGCCCCTAGACAAACACGCTTCTTTTGTTAGCCTCACGATTTTCAGGACCCGCAGGCTTGTTGTGACGTTGTGGTTACTGTGGCTTTCACAGAACTCTTTTGTCATTACTGTTATTGGAGACGGGTTTTGTATGTAGCCCAGATGGTCTTGATTCATGATGTTACAGAACTAGTATGCCTTCCCAGTGAGAAATCACTCCACCGCTTAGGAAATAAATGGTGGAAAAACTCTTTAGTAATAGTGCACAGAAACCAGCCTTGAACAGAAATCCCTTTCATAGTTTTACGGCCCCAAGTTACACTTTGAGCAATTAAACATCTTTTGCAGAGACAGAAATCCTAAGGTTTGGTTGTTTGGACAAATGGGGAGATTGTCAGGTTATCAGGAGACAGGCCACAGCTGCATCTCCTGGGCAGCTGTTAGCCAGGATCATCCTGCCAGGCTGGCAGAATGGCGCTCTTTCTGATAGAGGCACGCACGGGGTTTGGCTGGCATTGTCAGCCAGGGTCGTCTTCTCTAAACTGCTTGGCAGTGGCATGTTCCTTTAGGTACATTTTACCTTGCTGTAACTTAGTATTTTTGAAGTAAGTCCATTGGGAAATCCCTTAGAAAAAGAAAGATATAAACATCAGTTTGTTTCTTTTACTTCCCCTTCAGAATTCCTGCTTCAGCCTGCTAGGTGCTTGGATTAGAGGTGGGTGCCACTGTGCCCATCTTAAATGTCCCATGTATCACTTTAAAAACCATCTCAGTCCTCAGAACAGTACTGTGGAAGTAAGCACTATTTCCAAAGCTTGCTCACTTACTACTTTTCGAGGACTAATGTCCTACAGAACACAACTTAGATGCTTTAAGTGTGGAGACGGTGGCAACCAGAGACAGACCCTGGGAGGAAGGCAGCTGCAGGAGGGAGCCTTTTGTTTTATTTTTTGGTTTTTTTTTTTTTTTTGGTTTTTTTTTCGAGACAAGGTTTCTCTGTGGCTTTGGAGGCTGTCCTGGAACTAGCTCTTGTAGACCAGGCTGGCCTCAAACTCACAGAGATGCGCCTGCCTCTGCCTCCCAAGTGCTGGGATTAAAGGCGTGCGCCACCAACACCCGGCTGGAGGGAGCCTTTTTAAGCCCTGACAGTTGCCTTTGCCTGTGCTGTCGTTTTGTTCTCCTCCCTCCCCTCCCCCTCCTCCTCCTCCTCCTCCTCCTCCTCCTCCTCCTCCTCCTCCTCTCTGTTGAAAGTCAGGTGACTGAGCCAGGCATTGGTGGCACACACCTTTAATCCCAGCACTCCGGAGGCAGAGGCAGGCGGATCTCTGTGATTTCGAGGCCAGCCTCGTCTACAAGAGCTAGTTCCAGGACAGCCTCCAAAACAATTCAGAGAAACCTTGTCTCGAAAAACCAAAAAAAAAAAAAAAAAGAAAGTCAGGTGACTGGCCTAACTAAAGTAGGTACCACTGTGCCCTGCCCACATGGTTGACTCTTTTTTAAAAATATTTATTTATTTTAATTTTATTCTCATTGGTGTTTTGTCTGTGTGTATGTCTGTGTGAGGGTGTCAGATCTTGTAGTTACAGTTTTGAGCTGCCATGTGGGTGCTGGGAATTGAGCCAGAGACCTTTGGAAGAGCAGTCAGTGTTCTTAACTGCTGAGCCATCTCTCCAGCCCCCTGGTTGACTCTTAATGTTGGAAAAAAGAAGCAAATATATATGTATGTATGTATGTATGTATGTATGTATATACATGTACATGCATACATAGGTACACACATGTTCTACTTAGAGTATAATTTCTACAGCAAACAGAACTAACCAGTTCCTTGGGAGGTTGTACTAGTTTCCCATCACTGTAACAACTGAGATAATCAGCTCACAGAGGAGAGGTCGATCCTAGCTCCTAGGTTTGGAGTTCAGGCAACGGCACCATTGTTTCTGGGCCTGTCTTGCAGGGCGTCACGGCAGAGAGCATGGTGTAGAACACAGTCATGGCCGGCCACGTAGCAAGAGAGAAGAATCTGCCCGCTAAGGCCATAGTCTTCTCGATCTGAGGACGTCCCACTAGGCCTTTACCTCCCAACAGTGTCGAGCCGGGGACACCTGAAACCTTTTTGAGGACATTCTAGAGAGCAGTGGTCCTCACCCTTCCTAATGCTGTGACCCTTTAATACAGTTCCTCATGCTGTGGTGACCCCCAACCATACAATTATTTCTGCTGCTACTTCATAACTATAATTTTGCTGGCATTATGAATTATAATATAAATATCTGTTTTCTGATGGTCTTCAGTGACACGCTGTGAAAGGGTCAGGACCCACAGATTGAGAACCACTGTTCTAGTGGCTAGATACTGTTAGTGACTACAAAAGAGTTTGAGGGGCTCTCTGGGGAATCCCAGCTTCTTGGAACTGGGTGTGAAGGCTGCTGAACTTCTGCTGTCCCGCAGGCTGTGTTGTCAGTAGGGGAGAGAGGGCCTGACACACCCCGACGACACGCCCTCCCCTCTTCAATCGGTTGGCTGATTTACATGCTCTATTGTGGTCCAGAGGCTTCTCCATTCCTGTACCACACAGCACTCAGAGCACAGCAGAACAGAGCAACTCCGGGACAGCCTTCTGCCTCTGGCCATGGCCTGCCCTGGTTGCCTGCCTCTCCTCCTGACTGGAGCCTTCTTGGCAGGTAAGACTCCTCGGGGAGTGAGGTGGGGGTTGGCACTAGCTCAAGAAAACCCATGTAGAGAAGTAGGGTCAGTGAGGTGGATCCTAGGAGCGGCATAGAGGTAGAGTGGAGATTAGGCTCCAGGCAGGTCTGTCTAGGACCAGGGGCAGGGCACTTTTGTGTGTGGACCTCAGTTTTCCCATTCGCGGGTCTCCTTACACTCTGATCCTTCAGAGACTCTGAAGAGATGACAGCTGGTCAGTCACCTTTGCTTCTCACAAGGGACAGTCCCCTACTCCATAGATCCTGTAAGGTAATCCTCTGTGGCTAGAAGCTTGAAACCAAAGATGATGGTTATGCCTCCTGGGAGGTTCCTGGGGGCAGTTGCCCTGGAGCCAGGGTTTGGAAGACCTGGTAGATGGAGGGGCAAGGGTCTACAGAGAAGGGGGTAGTAGGCACTGGGGGACTTAGAAGGTTCCAGTTTCATGCTTGAATACTAGGCTCTCAGCTGAACATGGATTCTTGGAGACAGGACAATAATGCTAATTTAGACATCACCTCCTCCAAAGCCCTCATTCACAGAGAGAGGAAAATGGGGTTGTAGAGAGCAAACTAAGTCTCATGGAACCAGGCCCTCCATGTTCCATCCGGCGTCAACCCTATGACACTGGGCCATGAAAATTTTGGGAGTCTCCTTGGGGATCTAACAAAATAGCAGGGCAGGAAGGGAGGGGCCCAGGCTAGCCCTGAGTGTGTCTGTATCTTCCAGTCTTCCAGCCCACCCTGAGCCATCCTGAGGCAATGCTGGTCTTCCCAGGCCAAGTAGCTCAGCTCAGCTGCACAGTCAACTCCCAGCATGCCACCTCGGGGGGCTTTGGTGTGTCTTGGTATCAGCAGCGCCCGGGCAGTGCTCCCCAGCTCCTCTACTACCACTCGGAAGAGGAGCACTACCGGCCCGATGACATTCCTGACAGGTTCTCTGCTACCACGGGTGTGGACCGCAGTATCGGTGTGCTGACCATCAGCCCTGTGCAGCCGGAAGACGATGCCGACTACTTTTGCTCCATTGCCTATAACTTCGATCCCTAGGTCTGGGGTACTGGATGAATGTCTTCTGTGTGTCCCCTACTTCTGCCCTGGCCTTGGACCGCTCTTTTTCCTCTGAGTCTTGCTTTTCTCCCTCTGCAATATGAGCTGATAACATTCAACATCCAACCACAGTCATGATGACCCCGAGGAAAACAAAAAAGACAAATCAGAGGACATGGGAGTTGGATTCTCATGATGGCTGTCAAAAGAGGAAACACCTGAGACTCTGAAGGAACTCGGCTCAGCCTTGCCCCTATCCCCAGGGGTTTAGCTTGGTGGCTGACCTTCCAGTGACCTCATGAACTGAAGGAAGAGAAAAAGGAACTAACTTTGTACCCATCCTGCCAGCTCCACATGGCTGATTGTGGCCCAACGCTCGTTGTTCTTGGGTGGCTGGTCCCCATGGGGTTCGTGCTGATGGTTTGGGGGCGGGGCAGCTCCTGCTGCTCCCCTCAAGTCTCTGGCCAGGGGCAGGTGTTCTCTGAAGGGCCCCTGAGGGCCAGGGATGGGGACATTGAAAGTGGCTGACAGCTCATGCAGCTCCCTCCCCTCAAAGACAGTGTGTTCTACTGCCCCCCCCCCGGAAGCTTTCCCACAGATGGGTGACCACACCTGAGGAGTCACCGGCCAACGGGTGGCACAATTAACTGTAGGGCCAGCCTTGCTGTGAGAAGCTGAACTGAGTGGCATTGGAGCCTTCAGAAAGATCCCTGAGCCGGTGTGGTGGCACATGGCTTTCATCCCCAAACTCGGGTGGGTCTCTGTGACCTGACAGCCAGCCTGGTCTGCATAGGGAGCTGCAGACAGCCAAGGATAGATAGTGAGACCTTGTCTTGAACCAAAACAAAATTCCTGGGCTGGGGTTCCAGATCAGCGATAGAATATTTGCCTGGTATGAAAGATGTCCCTGGGCTCAGTCCCCAGGATAGCAAAGGCAAACACACATAATCACCTCCCCCCCAGTCATACCCAGGGTGCGGTTATGTATACCTTTAATCCCTGTACTGGGGAGGCAAAGGCAGGCGGATCTCTGTGAGTTCGAGGCCAGCCTGGTCTACATAGTAAGTTCCAAGACAGCCAGGGAAGAAACCGAACCCTGTCTCAAAAAACAAACAAACAAACAAACGCCTCATATCTGGAGGTGAGCACCTAGCTGCAGCGTTTGGAGGATCCAGAGTCCCAGGAGGGGCCAGTTTACAGTCTTGACTATCTTGGGGCCCTTCAACCTTTAATCCCCCTTCATCTCCTTGTGGTCTTATGTGGGCGGCTGGAGCGCAGAGGGGGGCAGGTAGGACAGGCAAGGCCAGGGTTACCCTGGAAAGGAGGAGCCTCAGGGGAGGTACAGCAGTCATCTGAGGCTCTAGACTCGGCTTTACCAACCTCAGTATTTTCCCATGCACTCTGTCCAACGCGGGCTCCCCTCTACTCTCCCCACCCGCCGGAACGCAGCCACACCACCCTGCCAAACTGCAGCCTGGCTCAGCAGCAGGAGCACAGATGCTGAGACCTCCGTGAAGACTAGAGTGGTCCCGGAAGTGCTCACTGACACGGAGGCGGGGTGGGAGACGGCGAGATGGGGGGGTGTGGGGGAAGGGGAGGAGACGAGGGGGAGAGGTGGGGGAGGAAGGGCGGGTGGGGCCCCCAGGCCCTCGGGCAGTCGGATGCAGCTTCACCCCGACCCAGATGCCCCACCCCCATCCCATCCGGGTCCACCGGATCCACCTGTCGCTCCCAGAGTGTGGGTGCCCCTGACCACACCAAGCATTTGTCCTGTGCCCAGGCCCTGGTGGGCTATGGATTCCCGAGAGAGTTGGGAATTTGAGGCTCCAGATCTTTGAATTTTTCAGTCTGGCAACATTTAACACGTTGTTGGGACAGATACAGCACCTTCTGATCATCCCACCTCTCCTTACTCTCCAGCAATTTACCGTCCCCAAACTCCCTCATTAAGGGTGGCACTGCCGGGCCTCACTTTCTCAATCAGTGTTACTAAATGCTCATTATGACTAGTGGTGCATTGGTATGTTGAACAGCCAATTCAGAGCGTTTGCGGGGCATGGGGGCCCTAAGCACTTGGGAGGCTGACAGGAGTATTGCCACTTGTCCTCAGAAAGCAATTTTGGGCGGGGTGTGATGGTGCTGTCCCAGCAGGCAGAGGCAGGGAGATCTTTGTGAATTCAAGAGCATCCTAGTCTAAATAGCAAATCCCATGCCAGCCAAAGCTACACTGTGAGATCCTATCTCAAAATCCAAATAAATAAATTGATTAAAAATAAAAAGGCAAGCGTGAGCTTTTTGTGCTTGTTTATGAGTAGACAGTGCCACCTAGTGGTGAAGCCAAGCAAATTCAGACTGTGTCCTAGAACTTGGGAAGAGGAACAGAAACCCAACATCTCAGGGTGTGTTTCTCGTTTTAAATGTGCCCATCCTATCTAGGGGAGACCCAGTGTCTGAAGAGAGCCCAGGTGTCCCTCCATGGTAGCATGGAATGATTTGGCTTCTAGTTTAGAGTAAGAATCTATCTCCTGGAGCAACATTGCCCAGTACATCTTTATCAATAATAATAATAATGACTGTAAGAATGTCTAACACATAGCTATTACTGGGTGCCAGACACCATCCTACATACTTTACATATGTTAATCCCCTTGGTTCTCGCAATAATCAAACAGTCTGGGTCTATGACAAGGTAAGGAGGGCCTTTTAAAAGCCAATCAGAAACCCATCATTCCTTTCATATCTGACGCAGAGAACAAGATAATCACGAGATTTACTAAAGCAAGCTGCTCTCCACTTCTATTAGTTCTTCGAGTTCCATACAATTTGTTTTGTTCCTATTCCCTTTCCCAACTCCTCCCAAATCTGTCCTCCTTCCCTATCCATTCTCCTTCCCCTTCACCCATCAAGGCTAGAGTAACAGTTAACAAAGACGTGCACCAATAAAAACAGAGCTGAGCATATCAGTTTGCGATATAGTTTAAGGTAGAGTCCTTGGTTAGCATGCACCAGGTCCTGGGTTCCATTCCAGTACCTACCCCTCCCCCCACACAGAAAGAAGTAAGGATTTTTTTTCTTTAAAAATAATTTAAAGTTGATCTACAAGGATTGGAGAGATAGCTCAGTGGTTAAGAGCATTGTCTGGTCAGAGAACCTAGGTTTAATTCCCAGCACTCACAAGGTGGCCCACCACCATCTGTAATTCCAGTTCTAGGGGGATCAGGCACCATCTCCTGGCCTCCGAGAGCACAAGGCATGCCCGTGGTACACAGGACATAAGTATAGGCAAAATACCCATACAGAGAAAATAAATAATGTAGCAGGTTGAATTGCACAAAACTGAAAAGTTCCTGTGATCAGCCTTGCCACCCAGAGCTATGAAGTGAGCTGAAGTAAGTACCAAAAAAAAAAAAACCAACAACAAAAAACCAACAAAAAAATTAAGGTAGATATCATTTTGATACGGTATTTTAATTAAAATTAATGAAAAAATCCACTAAGATCAAACTATAAACATTGTTTTTTAAGATAGGAGTGATGAGCCGGGCGTTGGTGGCGCACGCCTTTAGTTCCAGCGCTCGGAAGGCAGAGGCAGGCAGATCTCTGTGAGTTCTAGGTCAGCCTGGTCTACAGAGCGAGTTCCAGGACAGCGTCCAAAACAATACAGAGAAACCCTGTCTCGAAAAAAAAAAAAAAAGTGCTGCTACTAGTTTCGGTCTCTGCCCCAGAATGACCATTAATGACCCTGCTTAGTTCCACCTGAGCCCAAATTTAGTCAAAGATAACTGCTTGTGGCTAATGGAGGGACAGCATTGGGGACCGACCCGGCAGCCGCCAAAAAGGGTCGTTCCCCCCTCCTCTCAGTCTCTGTCTCCCTTTCTCTCTCTCCTCCTCCTCTTTGTGTGCGCGCGCGTTTACCCCGACCAAGAATAAAAGAAAGGGAAGTCTATGCTTGGGAAGAATCAGGCCACAGAGCCTCCTGGAAGCCACCAAGGCCGTTCGGTGGCTCTTCCCAGGATGCCTTGCGAACCAGGGTGGAGCTGGGTCCAGAACCGTTACCGCGTTCTTGCTGCCAGTGCTTACCTGGCTCAGAAACGCTGCCATGGACCCCCCGGAGAACTACAGTGGCTTCACCAGGAATCATAGCACCATGGCCTTAAGAATCCACAGCACCACGGACACCCTGGTGATGATTTCGTATCTCTTACTGGTCCTGGTCTTCGGGCTGTGGGTACGACATGACCACTTTCCGAAGATACCTCGCATCCCGGCGCTCCAGAGGGCATGGCCCTGGCCACCCTTTGCCTAGCCCCTCCCCACCCTTCCAACCAAGCATCAGCACTTGGTCCATTATCCCTTCTTATGTCCTATACCCCCCCCGTCTCCCGCGTTCCCCCTGCGAAGTAAGTCAAGTAACTAAATTTGCCTGCCCCTGCTGCGTAGAACCCCAAACCTTAGTGGTATTTTGAAAGTTCCCGTGAGAGTCATGGTGATGACAGCAACTGATACAGACATGCTGCTATAACACCCTGAAGTCTCTCTCCAGGAGCTCCCCATCTGCAGATCTAGCCAACCCCGCTGAAAGTATTGGAGATTTTCTTTCATTTGTACTGGAAACCTAGGGTTATTTACAGTAATGAAGTATCATAATGCCCAATTTATGCTCTAGAGGCAATATGAAGAATAGGAAAGGATGTACTAGAGAGGTTATATCAAACAAATATTATATGACTTTTTATAAAAGAGATTTGAGCTCGAAGCCTCTAGGAACTAAGCTCCACGCACACCAAGGCTGGACTCTACTGTGACTTGAACTGAGATTCCAAAAGTTTTTTTTTAAAGATTTATTTATTTATTATATATACACCAAATTGAATTGTAGATGGTTGTCAGCCACCATGTGGTTGCTGGGAATTGAACTCAGGACCTCTGGAAGAGCAGTCAGTGCTCTTAACCTCTGAGCCATCTCTCCAGCCCGAGATTCTGAAAGTTTAAGGAAGAAGCGGAAGATAGTGGAGCTCGGATACAAACCTAGAGCTGTTGGTCATGGGACGGACTTGAGCTTCCTGGGATTTTCACATTCCCAAGGGCTCCTGGAACTAATTCCCCACCAACACCAAGGGATGAGAGCACAGAGTCTGTCCAAACAGGGAGGGGAATCCCTAGTGCACATCCATAGCAAACACTATCTGTCTTTACTGGCTTCAGCCATGGACAGTGTGTTTCCAGGTTCCGGGAATCCTTAGTCTGCTGTCCTTCCTTCAGGGCTATTAGTAGGAATCCTCCCCACACCCCAGATTACTCTTGGCCTTACCTGGGGCCAATGTCTGGCCATGACTTGAGAACCAGTAAACCAGAATAGTCAGACCAACGTACACCACCCAGCTCTTCACTACGAATGGCATTCTACCAGAGTGTTTCTGTTTCAGGCTGTGCTGTCAAGTAGCCGTGGGACGGTAAAAGACTTCTTCCTGGCTGGCCAAAATCTGTCATGGTGGTTGGTGAGTGGTCTTTTCTGTGGATGTTTGCTTGGGGGCTTTCTGTGTTGCCTTGACTTTTGGTTTGTTTGTTTGTTTGTTTTAAGACAGGGTTTCTCTGTGTAGCCCTGGCTGTCCTGGAACTCATTCTTTAGACCAGACTGATCTCAGAGATCCACCTTCCTCTGCCTCCTCAGTGCTGGGATTAAAGGCTTACACCACTACCCAGCCTGTGCTGGCTTATCTATTATTTTAACTTATATGTCTGAAGCTCAAAATAACTTTAAGTTGCTAAATCAGGACTTTCCACTTCCTCCTCGTCCTCCTCTTCCTCCTCCTCCTTCTTCCACACAGTCTTGCTGTGTAGCCCAGGCTGGCTTTGAACTCACGATCTTCATGCTTTAGCCTCCTGAGTGCTGGGTAACAATTGGTGTAATAAATACCAGTTGTGTTTAATTGACGACTTATTGAATGTCTACATATTTTCCTTCCTAACTCTGTCACATGAAAGCGCAGAACGGAAGCAGGCTGAATCGTAACCCTTCTGACTGTGCGTGGGTGTGCAGGTGTGAGTACCTGTGCGTATGCATAGGCCAGAGAAGGACCGGAGCCTCCTGCTTTGCCTCACTCCCTTGACACAGGGTCTCTCACTGAACCTGGAGCTAGGCAGGCAGTTAGTGAGCTCCCGGGCATTCTCCTGTCTCTGCTCCCCAGAGTGCTGGGTTAGAGACACACAGCAGCCACACCTGTTCTGTGCAGTCGTTGAGGTTTGAACTCAGCACCTAGATTTTGCAGCAAACCCTCTAACCATTGAGCCACCACCAGTGCAATGTTCATATTTAAACTACTTACAGTGCGTTATAGTAAATAAGTCTATCGACAAAAGCTAAACTTGGGCCCGTGTGTTTAGCAACACAGAAAAGGATCTTCCAAAGGCAGAGTCATGCGCACCGGGTTTGAGGTGGAGGGAGCCTTTTCCAGGCAGACGGAGTGTGGGGCGTTCTGAGCAGAGGGAACAACACATACCAAAGCTAGAGGTACAGCGTAGCTTGGTGCTTGATGGAAGGAGATGTAGAAAGTAGAATCATTGTCTGTGTGCTGAACAGTGTTTTGACTATTGTGCTTGTAAGGTTCTCTCTCTAAAAGAACAGAACGGATATGTATGTATGTATGTATGTATATATGTATGTATGTATGTATGATTTATTAGATAGGCTGACATGAGGTAGTCCAGCAATGGCTGTCTCACTCTGGAGAGTCTGAGAATCCAGAAGTGTCTCAGTCCTTGAAACTGGAGGTCTCAGTAGTCCCAATCTGGTGCTGAAGGCCTCGAGGATTCTTGTAGAGCTCCTGGTCTTCCGTCCACGTTGGAATCCCAAAAATGGCTCTAACAGACGGCTGTAGCAATAGGACTTGCCAGAGGGGGTGAGGGCAAGCAGGCAGCAAAGTGTTCCCTCTTCTATGTCCTATCGCCTGAGCTGCCACCGGAAGGTGCCTGTCACACTTCCTGCCTTAACTAATCTGAGGAGAAAAGTCCCTCAATGGTAACAACCAGCCACTTTCCTTCTGGTTGGTTCCAGGTTGTCCTAGGGTTACTATTGCTGTGATGACACACCATGACCAAAAGCAATTTGGGGAGGGAAGGATCTATTTGGCTTACACTTCCACGTCATAGTTCATCACCGAAGGAAGTCAGGACAGGGACTAAAAGAGGACAGGAACCTGGGAGCCAGAGCTGATGCAGAGGCCATGGAGGGATGCTGCTTACTGGCTCCTCATGGCTTTCTCAACCTGCTTTCTTACAGAACTCAGGACCACCAGCCCAGGGATGGCCCCACCCGCCATGGGCTTGATCCTCCCCAATTGATCACTAAAATTGAGAAAATGCATTATAGCTAGAAAATGCATTTCCTCAACTGAGGCCCCTTCCTCTCTGATGACTCTAGCTTGTGTCAAGTTGACACACAAAACCAGTCAGTACACCTAGCCTGTGCAAACCCAGATTTTATCCCAGAACTTGGATGGGGAAGCAAGAAGATCAGAAGTTCAAGGCCATCCTCAGCTACAGAGTGAGTTTGGGCATAGAAATTCTGCCCAAGGAATAACCCTTTTGGAGAAAATGTCAGAGACAGTAGATTTGCACATTTTGAACATTACTTATTTGTTTTGAGACAAGGTCACATGTATGCCAGGATGTCCCCCAACCTCATCATGATGCTGCACTCACTTAACGAAGCCGATTTTTCACCAGCATCAAGCATCCCAGCAATGTGACAAGTCTCCTGTCAACTGCAGCTGACTCTTCTAGTAACCGGATACCACAGATTCTTGGTTCAAAATATCACACAACCGGCCTAATAGAATCCTTGAGGGACTTTCAAATTTCCCTCTGAAACTTCACAAGCTAGAGTCATCAGAGAGGGGGGAGCCTCAGTGGACAAAAGGCCTCCATAAGGGCTTTAAGCAAGTCTGCAGAGCACTTTCTTAATTAGTAATCGATGAGGGAGGACCCAGCCCATTGTGGGTGGGGCCACGTCTGGGTTGGTGACCCTGGGTTCTATAAGAAAGCAGGCTGAGCCAGGCAGTGGTGGCACATGCCTTTAATCCCAGCACTCAGCACTGGGAGGCAGAGGCAGGTGGATCTCTGTGAGTTTGAGACCAGCCTGGTCTACAAGAGCTAGTTCCAGGACAGCTTCCAAAGTCACAGAGAAACCCTGTCTGGAAAAACCAAAAAAAAAAAAAAAGCAGGCTGAGCAAGCCATGGGGAGCAGGCCAGTAAGCAGCACCCCTCCATGGCCTCTGCATCAGCTCCAGCCTCCAGGTTCCTGTCCTCTTTTAGTCCCTGTCCTGACTCCCTTCAGTGATGATCTACAATGTGGAAGTGTAAGCCAAATAAACCCTTTCCTCCCCAACTTGCTTTTGGTCATGGCGTTTGGTCACATCAATAGGAACCCTAACTAAGACACTAGGCAAGTGCTCTATGACTGAGCCCACTCTCACATGAATTGTTGTTGTGTGACAAGGACTCTGACACAGTTTCATCCTCTGATTTTCAGATGGGCATCTCCAATTATTCTGCAAATATCAGCAGTGGCCACTTTATGGGCCTGGCCGAGATAGGTGCAGCTTCAGGAATTGCTGTTGGGGCCTTTGAGTGGAATGTAAGTAATATCTCCTGGCCACATACATGACCAGTGTCCAAAGAAGACTCACAAACACAAAAGCTTGCTCTCAGCCTCGAGTGACTGTTAGAGACGTCTTGGAAAGCAGAGATGGAGGGCGTCAAGTCTTTGGTTTTTCAGAAGGGTTATGCTGTTTTCCACTCTCGTTAGTAAGTCAAGAGTTAGAAAGCATGTATGGAAATATCCATAGGGAATGCAGTGAGCCAAGAACTGTTAGATCAGCCAGGTAGGGAGAAAATCACATTAGCATCCGTGTGTGTGTGTGTGTGTGTGTGTGTGTGTGTGTGTGTGTGTGTGTGTGTGTTCACTGACATCTGTAGACAGTAACTGAACCTGCATCTCTTTTTAGGAACTTGATCCACATGGGCCCATGACTTAATTCTTCTGCTTTTTCTTGGTTTCAGACTATCTTTATGTTCTTTGTCCTTGGTTGGATATTTGTTCCTATCTATAGCAAGGCTGAGGTAAGTACCCATTATAAGTTACTCTATAGTTCATGATGTTTTAAAAAAATATTGCATGTGTAGTAAAAGCATTCTGAAGGACAGATTATACTGTCCGTCTTTTGATCCTGACACCAACTTCCCTAATCTGCAGATACTAAAATATACCATTCCATTTTGGGTAGACAGACAGTGTTTATCAGCTGTAGAAGTCTCCTGGTGTAGTCTTGAGGGTTATTATGTTGTATAAAATCATACCATCTTCAAATAAAGGGCCTTGATCTCCTTCAGTTGTCTTATTGCTCTAGTTAAGACTTCAAGTACTAGCCGGGCGTTGGTACGCCTTTAATCCCAGCACTCGGGAGGTAGAGGCAGGCAGATCTCTGTGAGTTCAAGGCCAGCCTGGTCTACAGAGCGAGTTCCAGGACAGCCTCCAAAACAATACAGAGAAACCCTGTCTTGAAAAACCAAAAAAAAAAAAAAAAAGACTTCAAGTACTATATTAAATAGGTATGGAGAGAGTGGACATTCTTCTCTTGTTCCTGATTGAGTGGAAATGCTTTGAGTTTCTCTCTGTTGAGGTTGATGTTGGCTGTGGCTTGCTGTAAATCACTTTTATTATGCTCAGATGTGTCCCTTGTATACCTAATCTCTCCAGTACTTGTATCATGAAGGGATATTAGGTTTTGTCAAAGGCTACATCTAGCCGGGCGGTGGTGGTGCACGCCTTTAATCCCAGCACTTGGGAGGCAGAGGCAGGCTCTCTGTGAGTTCAAGGCCGGGCTGGACCGACAGCCTCCAAAGCAATACAGAGAGACCCTGTCTCGTAAAACCAAAAAAAAAAAAATGCTACATCTAGGAAGATGATCATTTTTTTTCAGTCTATTTATGTGGTGGATTGATTTCTGTATGCTGAGCCATCCATGCATCTTTGGGATGAAGCCAATTTGATTGTATTACATAACCTCCTTTTTACAAGAGTTTTGGATTTGATTTGCAAGTATTTTTGAGAAATTTTGCATCTATGTTCATAAAGGAAATTGCTTTGTAATTTTCTTTCTTTGTTGGGTCTTTGTGTGGTTTAGGTATCAGGGCAATAGACCTCATAAGAAGAGTGAGGTAGGGGAAGGGCCTAGGCCCTGCCCTGGATGAAATGACAGACTATGGACACCCCATGGAGGGCCTCACCCTCCCTGGGGAAATGAGGGGATACTGGGGGGTTGGTGGGAGGGCACGGGAGGAGGGGAGGGAAAGGGAGAGGGACTTGGAATTAACCTCTGAAGCAGCCTGTTTCTTTTCTTTTCTTTTCTTTTCTTTTCTTTTTTTTTTTGGTTTTACGAGACAGGGTTTCTCTGTATTATGTTGGAGGCTGTCGGTCCAGCCTAGCCTCGAACTCACAGAGATCCGCCTGCCTCTGCCTCCCGAGTGCTGGGATTAAAGGCATGTGCCACCACCGCCCGGCGAAGCAACCTGTTTCTAACTTAAATTTAAAAATAAATAAAAATTTAAAAAAAGGGCGGGGACAGGGAGATTAGCACAGGTGGGATATTTAAGGAAAAGAAAAGTAAACAGGCCCTCTTTTTGGAAGCCTGTCATGCTTCTAAAAAAAAAAAAAGAAGAAGAGTGAGGTAATACTCCTTCTGTCTCTGTTTTGCAGAGTAATTTGAACAGTATTGGCCTTAGTTCTTCCTTGAAGGTCTGGTAGAATTCTGCCCTGAACCCATTTGGCCCTGGTTGTTTTCTTTCTTTCTTTCTTTCTTTCTTTTTTTTTTTGGTGGGGAGACTTTTAATTACTGCTTCTATTTCACTAGGGATTTGCGGCTTGTTTAAGTTGCTTTTTTGATCTTGATTTAACTTTGGTAAGTCATATATATCGATATATATATATATATGCAATTCTTTTAGATTTTCCAGTTAGGTGGAGCATACATTCTGAAAGTATATCCTTATGTTTCTCTGGGCTTCCTCATTGTCTACTGTTATGTCCCCCTTTTGTCTGTAATTTTATTAATTTGAATCTTCTCTTTCCATTATTTAGTTAATTTGACTAAGGGTTTACCAATCTTATTGATTTTTCCCAGAGAACTAACTCTTCATTTCCTTGATTCTTTGTGTTTTTTAAAAATTCCTTTTATCTATTTAAGTCCTGAATTTATTTCTTGCTGTATACTCCTCTTTTTGTTTCAGAGCTTCAGGTATGCTGTTAAGTTGCTAATGTGAGATCTCCTCAATTTATTTATTTTTATTTTTTTAAACTTTGAACTTGCCTTTAGAACCTCCTTCATCATGTCCCATAGGTTTGGCTATGGTATATAGTCTTTTCTTTTTTGTTGTTGCTCTTTAATTGTTTTATTTTATTCATATGGGTGTTTTGGCTGTATGTATGTATGTGTACCATGTGTGTGCTGTGCCCATCGGGGTGAGAAAAAGTTTAGGGGAGTCACCAAAGAATGAGGAGGAGAGGTCCCTGTAAGCAGTCTGCTACAGGAAGAGAGTGGAAAGATTGTGACAGAGAACAAGGACAGTGGAAATACCTGAGTCCATCTTCAGGCTGACCTCATGGGTCCTAGGTAGCAAGTGTTTCTAGGTATTGGCAGCTGACGTAAAGATATAGGAATGGGCTAGAGAGGTGGGGTGAGGGGGTCCACAGGAAGCCAAAATATCCTTTTTGAAAGACTCTTAAAACTCTATAATAAAAAGGTTAGAATTAATGTTTCAGAACAAAACAAAACACCACCTCTCCAAATGCAAATAGCCTCATAAGATTTTTATCCTTAATTACAACAAATGCTATCTTAAAACCAAGTACAACTTCCGACTCCTCCTCCTAGTCTCTCCTGAGGTGGTCAGTGGGTTTCAGCCACATGAGGAAAAACAAGAGAGGACCAAGAAAAACAAGGTGTGCTATATACACCCGAAGGAGGGGCCCAGAGATAGGAGGGGCCCAGAGAAAATCTGCTACACAGAACCACGTGGAAGAGACGTCATTAGGAAGCAGAAGATGGGATGAGGTCAGGCCTTTGTTAGGGTTCCACGGGAAAGGCAAGGCAGAGCAGAATCCGCAGCTTTGGACTGCCTGTTTGACCAACTCCAAAAGGCTTGTGTTGGTCCTGAGAAGATTACAGCAGAGGACTATTGTCTCCTGGTGCACAGGCTGGGTGGAGGAGGCCAGCTCTGAACTGGTTAACCTGGTGTCAATGCTAAGGATCTAGCCTGGGCCTCTGTTACCTGTGGGGATTGGCTGGTCTTGAGAAGGGCAGTTCTTCCCAACCAGAAAGATGTAAAAACAATTCTTTTTATTTTCATGCTTCGTTTTGTTTTATGTGTTTGAGTGTTTTGCCTATATGTATGTATGTATGCCACATGTGTGCCTGGTGCCCAAAGAGGCCAGAAGAAGGCATTGGATCCCCTGGAACCAGAGTTCCAGATGGCTGTGAGCTGCCATGTTGATATTGGGAACTGAACCCAGGTCCTCTGAAGAGCAACAAGTGCTCTCAGCCACCGGAGCCATCTCTCCAGCCCTTAGAAAGATTTCTTTTTTCTTTTTAAATTCCCATATTTTAGAAAAGTTTCTTTTAAAGATGTCAGAACATCATAAAACAGAAGACTTTTAGAAATGTCGACAGCGTCCACTGGGATAGCTAAGAGGCAAATAGAAGCACATACTGTGACGTACGTACCCTATAGAACACACTAGAAGCACATACTGTGACGTACTCTATAGAACACACTAGATTACTGCAGGGCCACACAGTGCATCTTTGACAAGTCTACCAGCATGATCTGGACAAATGCTTCTCAGCCCTGGGAAGGAGGCAGACCTTCTGAATCCTTGAACGTGTAACCTCTACAAGTGGCAATAGCTAACCTGTGGTTTAAGGCACCTAAACCAGCGTTTCTCAACCTGTGGGTCTCGACCCTGGGGGAACAGCTGTTTTATAGGGGTTGTGGAAAACCATCAGAAAATGGAGATTTACATTACGATTCATAACAGTAGCAAAGTTTCAGTGAAGAAATAGTGACAAAACCAATTTTATGATTGGGGGCCACCACGACATGAGGAACTGTATTAAAGGGTCACAGCGTTAGGAAGGGTGAGAACCACTGCTCTAAACTGTCCCCACTTGTTATGGAAGTCCAGACATCAACTCAGAAACAGCTTGGGCAGTTTAGAACTTTGCTGGGAGAATGATTGACATATGGCCGAGTATGATATGGAGCCAAGAGAGGGCCAAGAGAAGGAAGCCTGCAGGTGCTCTGGTCCCCGTGAAGAATTCTTTGTGGAGCAGGTGGCGTCTGAGTGGGAGTTCACAATAGACACATGTAAGTAGGCAGACCAGAACTGTGTATTGGCCAGGACAGAGTGAAGCAATATCCTTGAGCTAATTCACTTCCCTTGAGCCAAGGACCGTTGGGGTCAAGGGGCATTGTGAGCACTGAGAGCTCAGTCCCTGTGCTCATGGCACACACTTCTGGAGAAAACAGGACGCTTTGGGACGCTGTCATGTGACCAGAGTGTTCACACAGAGGTGGCTGAAAGCTGACTACATCGTCAGGTTCAATCTCCTGCCAGCCATGTTTGACAAAGCACTTCCCTTCGTTCCATAATGAGTAACTTATCATTATTGCACACTATCAGTTTACTGGGTTTCATTCTGCATTCCTGAGATCAGGCAGAGCCTGGGATCCAAGCAGCTGGAAGATCACTGTCCTGTCTCCGTTTTTACGGTTCCCCATCTCGACTGGTACCAGGCATGATGCGCCCCCACATCTTGTATCCCTGGGCTATCTCTGGGATACCATCTGGCAGCAGCATCTCTGTGACATAGACCCTGTGAGGAAGGGTCATCCGGTGACCTGCCTCTTGCCACACACTCTCTGACAGTGACTTGTCTGTGGCTTGTGCAGGTGGTGACGTTGCCAGAGTACCTGCGGAAGAGGTTTGGCAGCCTCCGGATTCAGCTGTGCTCCTCTTGCTTCTTCTTACTCCTCTACATCTTCAGCAGGACCTCGGTGAGTTCTTGCACATGGTGGGGACCAACCAGGCATGCCATTGGAATGCCTCTCCAAAGTGACACTCTTCTTCCTCCGAGTGGATGTGCCCATTGCCTCTAGCGTGTGTCTCTTTGTTATTTTCTTTGTAACGAGTACCATGGTGTGGAAGCCATTCGTTGGTGCTCACTATGTGTCTTCTCCGCTTCCATTCAAGTGAGCTGAGACTGTGAGTCTTTTCTGGTGTCTTTACCGCAGCCCCCACCCCCCACCCTCCCAGAGCCTGTTTTGCACATACGGCACAGCAGAGATGGTTTTCACTAACCAAATGAGTGACATTTAAAAAAAAAACGAGAAAGGCCCACATAGTGTCTTCATTCAATGTAAGCCCAGTGAGGACAGAAGCTGGGCTTAGCCAGTCCTCATGTCTTCTGAATACTGCAGCATTGTGGGGCCTCAGTAATCGTTTGTGGGGAATAAATGGTTGGATGGATGTCTGCCCATTTTATCCCTGACTTGGGAGGTCAGCCACGTAGTAAGTTACGTGCGGGTGCTTCAACATCAGTGTCGGCTCAGCCAGGGGTTGTCAAATCTGGTCATCAGGCCAGGCCAGTGGGATGAGCTAAGACTCGTTTTCATACCTAATTTACAGGGTTATAAAAGCTAGAGTCAGGGGGCTGGAGAGATGGCTCAGAGGTTAAGAGCACTGGCTGTTCTTCCAAAGGTCCTGAGTTCAATTCCCAGCAACCACATGGTGGCTCAAAGCTATCTATAATGAGATCTGGTGCCCTCTTCTGGCATAAGGGCATACACGCAGGCAAAAACACTGTGTACATAATAAATAAAATCTTAAGAAAAAAAGCTAGAGTCAGTGTGGTGGACAGCCTTCAAAACCTGTAATATTTATTGTGTAGTCTTGAACAAAAAGGTTGCCAATCCCAGAGCTTGTTAAATATATGGGTTCAAATGAACTTGGTAGTGTTCTAAAAGCACATAGAATTAAAAGTCTCCGGTAAAGATAACACAAAAGGTGTTTTCTGGAACAAATGCTTACAAAAAAAAAAAAAAAAAAGCCCATGGTCTTTCCCTAGTTGCAGAACCATATGCAACAACCTCTCTGAGCATAACCCCCATTCAGAGGCTCCGGAGCAGAGTAGACTAGGCTATGTTAACTAGGTGCCTTGGGTTAACCCATGCCCTTGGAGGTACTAACTGTGGTTGAGCTCAGAGAGCACAAAATTTGGGGAGATCTCTCTCGGTGTCCAGTGGTGGCCAGAGTGGCTTCCAGTCCCATTTCTTTCTGGGGGGGGGCTGCTGGTCCTGCTGCCCATGAAGCCTCAGCTGCCAACCTTGTGCCCATTTCAGATGGAGATCGGCTTTGGTGCCATGTTCTTGAAAATGGTCTGGGACACAGATATTTACCAGACGATGCTGGTTGTGCTGACCATTACGGGCATGTATACCATCACAGGTGAGGGAGCTCCGAGCACACACGAATTTACACTGACGTAAACTCCCAGAGGAGTCCTAGGAACTGAGATTTCCCAAAGTCTGTGGATCCCAGGAAATATGGTGGAGGCAGAGGTACCAGCAGGGATCACCTTGGGTTGGAAACAATCTCTTAGAAGAGTGATAAGTCAGCAGTGATCATGTTTACGGCAAAATGGAGCCTGACACTGTGGGTTGCCAGGTAGCAGAGTGGGAGGACACAAGATGAACGAGGGAGGGGGCGGGGGGGGGGGGGAAGCAGGGGCTCGAGGGGGCCTCCTGGCCAAGCCTTCAGACGGATCTGTGAGAAAGGTCGTTCTCATAGATTCTCTGCCTAGGGTAGGGGCTCTCATCCCTCATTTTCTTCTACTCATAGTGTGACCAGAGGTCAAGTAGAGCTAATCCGAGGGACAGAAGTTGTCAGGATGTTGCTCATAGTGGTGAGGAGTCTAAATTGGATTTTTCTTCCCGGTGATATCGGGTGATGCTTGGAGACAGTCTGGGTGGTTAAAACTGGGCGGGACTCAGGGAATCTGGCAGAGACCAGGGACAGTACTGATGACTGATTCCAGACTGAGTTTCTGGGATGAAAAGAGAACACATTTGATTAGGAAAATGGAAAAGCCTGGAGAACAAAGAAAAATTGGGACATAGGAAGCCAAAACACTACCACTTTGATATGTCTTCTGTTGTTGTATGAGGATGGGGAGTGTCATGTGAGCATACAAAGAAGGGACAAACACACCTGAAACAAACGAACACGCACTGACATGTTAGCAGTTCATACCTGCACTTCCATGGCATCTTAGAAAATTTATTACAGAATAATGTGTCTTCTTACACGATATCACGCTTATAACTTCAGAATTTACCTCCTTGTTGTTAGTTGGAGTTTTATTGGCTCAACAAAATTGGCAAAACTGAAAAAAAAAAAAGAATCCTACAAAAGCCGGTGAAGAACAGTAAAGAGAGAACACAGGGCGTGTTAGGCAAAGCGGATATGCAAATGGATGAGAATCTGAAAGGAGGTCGGGTGTGGGGAGGGCACACGGAGCAGGCGGCTGTGGGGGAGGGGAGGGGCACACGGAGCAGGCGGCTGTAAGCTTAAGCTCATGTGACTCCTTTCATTTCTCCTTCCTCTTCAGGTGGCCTGACGGCTGTGGCCTACGTAGAGAACTTACAAGCTGGTATTATGATTGTGGGCTCAGTCTTGTTAATGTGTTATGGTGAGTAAGTGGGCCACAGAGGTGGCATCTTTGAATCTAGGGTTACATGAGGGCCATGCTGAGAGCTCTGAAGGCAACCTCACTGCCGGCAAGGGGAGCCAAGTGACAAAATGCCGGTGAAACCTCCAGTGTGTCGTCCAGGGCGCTCCTCGCCAGCTCATGTGTTGTCCTTGTTCCCCAGTTGGAAGCCAACTCAAATCTGTCTGTCTGTCGAGGTCAGCAGAGGATCCATCGGTTCCCAGCAGCGAGATTCTACACAGGCAAATCACAATCGCACAGCATTCCACGTTGTAACTAGACCGCCATGATTGCTTCACCAGTGAAGTACACACACCCCATCCGAAAGGTCTGGCCCTCACACAAAGTGGCCTTTACAGAAAGTACAGCCTGAAGAACTAAGTATTTACTAATCCAGAGTGGAAATCGTAGCCAATGCGTAGGGTGCAGCAGAGTGACAGTGGCAGGCGGATCCTTGTCTTTGCCCAGCTTCAGAGAGAAGACGCTGGACGTCTCACTATTTAATATTACCTGTAAGCTGTTTGGAGACACACAGGTTGTCAGCCTTTTGGTTCCTACTTTGTTTATGCTGTATATCTGTTGTGCCCAGACTCTGAACCCCCCAAACCACCAAGAGACCACATCCCATGCAAAAGCAAAGAGTCTTTTTTTTTTTTCGATACAGGGTTTCTCTGTATTGTTTTGGAGGCTATCGGTCCAGCCCAGCCTCGAACTCACAGAGATCCGCCTGCCTCTGCCTCCCGAGTGCTGGGATTAAAGGCGTGCGCCACCACTGCCCAGCGCAAAGAGTCTTTTTAATTTACAAGTTAACTCGGGTCCTCCTACTCCAACACAGTGGGTGGAGCAGGAGGGACCCCAGCAGCAGTGGGGCAGGGCATATATTGGGGGTAGGACAAGGGGGGTGTCTGGGGGCCTGCTAGTTGCATAGTAATAGTCTCAGGACTGGTGCATCTCTGGGCTAGGGGAACCTGTCCTGAGATGATTGGTCAGCTGCAGCTGCAGAAAGGTTGCTATGCCTGGAGGCCATCCGAGGGCATTGCTACCTACTGTGTTCCCCTGTTATCAGTAAAGCACATCCAAAACCTGCCTGCTGACTTCTGACTGGTTCCTTACCACAGGGAGGGGATCTGGTGGTTTATTCCCAGTATTTAGGGCAAGGGCAAGGTCAGGCAAGGTGTGTGTCTGTGTGTGCGTCTGTGTGTGTGTGTGTGTGTGTGTGTGTGTGTCTGTGTCTCTGTGTGTGTCTCTGTGTGTGTGTCTGTGTGTGTGTGTGTCTGTGTGTGTGTGTGTCTGTGTGTGTGTGTCTGTGTGTGTGTGTGTGTATTGGGGTGGGGGCTCAGCACATCCCACTGAGTCAGGACCCTACATCTTCCAAGATCTTTTCTGCAGCCTGTCATGGCTGCCAAAGCAGGGGACTGGGTGAGGGTCTGGGACCTTCATATCATGAGTGACCTTTGAATTGTAACAGGTTTTCCCCCATACCTTCCTCTATTTCTTTCCATAAGTTTCTTTCAGCGCATGATGTCGAGGGGCGCTGTAGGAATGAAGTGAATGTGTTCTTTCAGGCTAAGAGCAGCAGGCTGTGTGTGGTATGTGCGCATGTGCATGGGTGTGGGGAGAGGGAGGGGGATGTCTGCTGTTCTGCTCTCGCACTCTCTGCTCTTTTTCCTTGCGGTAGGATTCCCAACTCTAACTCCCTCCACCTAGGCTATCCAGACAGCAAGCCCTAGAAATCCTCTTATCTACACACCTTACGGTGTTGGGGTCACATGGCCACACCCGCCTCTTACAACTTTTGTTTATTATTTTGCCATGCCTTCTCAAGCTCACGACCTCTTATTCTTTAATTATTATTCTTACATGCGTCCATTTGTAAATGTGTATCCATATGAGTGTTATCATATGCATATGTGTTTATGACTGACTGAGTAGGACTGGATAGTCTACCAGGGGGCTTGTGCTTGGAGTAGACTGACTCCCCCTCTCTCAGCATCCATTAATTGCCTGTAGCCCTTCATCTAGAGGTGGAACTTTGACCTTTGAAATGGAAAAGTCAAACAAAACTGAGAAACAAGATTGTCTCTCAGCCTATTAGATGAAGACAATTCTTGAAGTCTTAAAGCATCGGGTGCTGGCTGAGCAGGGTTAGGAGGTGAATTAGTCTCATTTCCCACATCCTCGGGCATGCCAGCTGGTGTTTAGGTGGCCGGACTGTTGAGATTGCGTGGGTGGGAGCCGCTTCCTTGCCATATGTAGAAGACACTCTCTCTCAGAGGGCGTTGAGGTCTTTGGGCTCCTTCAACCTCTCTTCCCTCCTTCTGAGATGTTCCTTGAGCCTTAGGTTTAGGGGTTGCTCATAGGTGTGTCCATTGGGAGCATAGACGCCCACAGATCTCCAGAGAAAATAGGAATGTCAAGCACACAGGATTGTCTTCCCGTTGGGAACATAAAAAACCTGCTCTTCCATCCAGAAAGCTGAGAACCGGGAGAGATTAACAGCCTGGTGATTTGTGTTATCTGTTGGACTAAGCCATAGCAAGTTGCTACAACCAGGGCTGGAGGTAGCTAGTAAACTAAATGACCCTGATAGCCAGTGGCTACCCCAAGCTCTCACTGCCAGCACCAGCAGTGGTAAATAGTCTGAATGACCTCTACACTATCTGTGAGATCCAGACCAGGCCAAACCCTTAGACCTGGGATCCGAGGACCTGAAACTTACTTCAGTTTCAGTGTGCAATGATCCAAGGAAGATTGCTTGAGTTCAGAAAAACATTTAAATAAACATCAGTAAACACATACTAAATATTGACAGAGCAACCCTTTCCCAGAACTTTCTCAGGACAGACCAGTTTAAAAACAATTGCCTGACTCATACAATAGATTATATCTGGGAAAGTATGAAAGCAAGGCAGGAGGCCATCTCTAGATTCAGAGCTCACTGACCAGATTGGGTTCTATAGCTTTGTTCAGACATTGAACAGGAATAAACACGTCTTATAAATCGAATGTAAATGTTCGTACAAAAGGCATGAAATCACATCCAAGAATAATCCAGGGAACAAAACACATCTGAGTTTGTAAAAGGCCCTCTTGCCCTTTTCCCTGGGGCCTCTCTCAGGTCCCCAAGGCATCGGTCACCATAGGTCCTTCTTTCGGCTGTGTTCCCACACTACCCAGCTATAATGGGTATGGACCACAACAACGACAAGAATGGCAAGATAGGGGCTGGAGAGATGGCTCAGCACTTAAGAGAACTGGCTGTTCTTCCAGAGGACCCGGAGTTCAAGTCCCAACACCCACATGACAGCTCACAACTGTCCGTATCCAGTTCCAGGGGATCTGATACCTTCACACCAACACATACAATAAAGTTAAATAAATTAAAAAAATAATGGCAAGATACCCCCAGAAAGGCAATGGAAACCATCCCAGAACTTCAAAAAGACAAAGGTACGCAGCTGGCTTCTCCCGTGGGTGCTGGGAGCTGCTGCATGCACAAGAAACACTCTTATCTACTGAGCCATCTCTCTAGTCCTCATCTAAGGGATTCTAGTGTAATTTATATTGTGAATCTCACATTTTTAGTTCAAATTTATTACCTTCTATTTCTTCTCATATCTTGCTATAAATTGCTTGTTATAATTTTGCATTTTATCTTTTGTTATTGGACATGAGTTTACTTTCTGTAAATGCTATGATATCTTTTATTAATTTTATACTCTTTCATTGACTAATATTATTTACAAATCTTTTGTTTTGTTTTGTTTTTAGTTTTTCCAGACAGGGTTTCTCTGTAGTTTTGGAGGCTGTCCTGGAACTAGCTCTTGTAGACCAGGCTGGTCTCCAACTCACAGAGAACTGCCTTCCTCTGCCTCCTGAGTGCTGGGATTAAAGGCATGTGCCACCACCGCCCAGTTTACAGATCTTAATTCATGTAAAAACAGAGTCTATTTCAGGGGAGTATGCTTTTACAATCCAACAGAAAAGAAAACATAGTTAAAACACAGTAGATGTTTCAATAGATATAATTTATCTATTAAATTAAATCTACTAGAATATAACTACTTTAATGTTAAGATCTTATACTACCTAGGACATAAGTTCTGAAGGAAAGTTTAACTAGGATGTGCAACATTTTGTTAGCATCTAAGGAAAAAATATTAATCTATTTTAAAGTCAAGATTCTTTAGATAATTTTAAAAAATAATTTAAATTTATTTTATGTACATTGGTGTGAAGGTGTCAGATTCTCTGAACTGGAGTTACAGGCAGTTGCCATCTGCCATGTGGGTGCTGAAAATTGAACCCTGGTCCTCTGAAGAGCATACAGTACTCTTAACTGCTAAGTTGTCTCTCCAGTCCTCTTTAGATAATTTATGATAGAATTTTAGTTAAAAACTGGTGTGAAATAAGTACTTTTTCTGGGCAGTGGTGGTGCACACCTTTAATCCCAGCCCTTGGGAGGCAGAGGCAGGCAGATCTCAGTGAGTTTGAGGCCAGGGTGGTCTACAAAGTGAGTTCCAGGACAGCCAGGACTGTTACACACAGAAACCTTGTCTCAAAAAAATTTTTTAAAAAGTACTTTTAGCCTCTATTTCAGGAGCAGATTACCAGTGGGCATGTCTGTATCGAGGGACCATGTAGACAAAAGACCTCCAAGACGTTGCACTAAGTGGAACCCAGTGGGAATAAACAGTACACTTAAAGTAGAATTCTAGAACATATTCTGTGCGATCCAGCAGGGGGCTCAAGTGTAGTCTTCACTTACTGGTTGTTAATCAGGAGACAGGGAATGTCAGTAAGCCAGGGTCCCCCAGAAGACTGGAAAAGGGAATATTGACTCATTCTACTTAAAGCATACACACCTTGGAAAAAGGGATTCTGAAACCAGACTAGAGGGGGTGGGGTTCTAGGCATGAAACTCAGTGTCCACTGAATTTCTTTTCCCTAGAAGGGTTAGTCTTCTCTTGCACACATGAAGAGTACTGATTGTGTGTTACTCTGTCGCATATTCTGGTGAGAGCCAGCAGGCCACACTGGGTCTTACTTTCAGTCTTGGTTTCTTAGTTGCCTTGTTTACTGTGCTCTCCAAGGAACTGATAAATATAACGGCTTTTGTTTGTTTGTTTGTTTTAAAGTCTTCCGTGAAGTTGGAGGATATCGGGGACTGGTGAAAAAGTACTTCCAAGCCATCCCAAGTAAGACCCAAGAGGGAAACTGGACTGCCAAGACACAATGCTACATGCCTCGTCCAGATGCTTTCCACATCTTCCGAAGTGCCGTCTCTGGGGACATCCCCTGGCCTGGACTCGTCTTAGGTGCTACTACTGTCTCTTTGTTCTATGGGTGTGCTGATCAGGTAATTAAATGCAAGGTCCTTTGATGTCCCTGTAGATAGAGGCCACTGTGACTTGCGCATGGTTGGCCTTCTAATTTGTATTTGTTGCCTCAATAACACCCCCCCCACCCAGTTGATATAAACAGTGAAACTTTTCTTTGTTTTAATGCTTATAACACTTTAACCCTGATAATACCTTTTTTGAACTATTCTCTAGCTTTTGTGTTTGGAGACTGTCTAAATTATAACCAGTCCCTGGTACCAAATTCTGTCTTAGTTAGGCTGTGAAGAGACACCATGCCCAAGGCAATTCTTTTTTTTTTAATAATTTATTTATTTTTACTTTACTTGCATTGATGTTTTAACTGTATGCATGTCTGTGTAAGGGTTTCAGATCTTGGAGTTATATACAGTTGTTAGCTACCATGTAGGTGCTGGGACTTGAACCTAGGTCCTCTGGAATGGCAGTCAGTGCTCTTATCCACTAAGCCATCTCTCCAGCCACACCCCCCCATGGCAACTCTTATAAAAGAAAACATTTAATTGGGGCAGCCTACAGTTTCAGAGGTTCAGTTCATACCATCATGGGGGAACATGGTAGCGTGCAGGCAGGCGTGGTGCTGGAGGGTAGCTGAGAGTCCTACATCTCCCAGGCAACAGGAAGTGGTCGGTAACACTGGGCAGCATCTTGAGCATAGGAGACCTCAAAGTCTGCTCCCACAGTGACATACTTCCTCCAGTAAGTCCCCACCTAATCCATCAAGGTCACATCTCCTTTTGGGGGCCATTATCTTTCAAACCACCACAGAGACTTTAGCTTTATATGAAATTTTCATGTACTTTAAAGGTTGGGGGAATTTCTTTCTTATAGATTACTGTCATCTTTCATACCTATGTCTCTCTAACCCTGGATGGTCCAAAGATGTATGAATGCATGTTGACCATCTTAGCAAACCCACCAGAATACACATCCTGCTGTTGCATCAGACACAAGTATCTTACCTGTTCTGACTCCACCCACTTGTCTTTCCCTGGCAGGTTTCTGTCCAGAGGTTCCTAGCAGGAAAGAGCAGACTTCACATGAAAGGTGGCTGCCTCTTATATGGGTACCTGAAGCTGCTGCCCATGTTCCTCATGGTGATGCCAGGGATGATCAGCCGCATCTTGTTCCCAGGTGAATTCTTGACCCTGACACGCTGTCTTAGAGATCTGGGGTATATTTTTGAAGTACTGGATCTCCCATGGAATATTAGTTACTGGAATTGCCTCAATTCCAAGGTGATAAGGGTAAGAACAGATCGAAGCATCCCTCCACCATGAGACAGTCATGTTCCTCCCCTGCAGAGGCCCAGCCACAGCTTTGGGACAGTCTTCAGGAATTTGGGTTGCTCTGTCACTTCACAGACTGTATGCCATCTGCCTCAGGCACTGTGCAAGGATCTCTTTGATGTAGTTTCTCACAGGCCTAGACTGAGCATTTAGAGTACTTGCTGAACTCACGAGACATTTTGCAAGAGGCTGATGTGGAGAAAAAGACTTGGAGAAGGGCCCTCATTCTTTTTTTTTTAATTTTTATTTATTATGTATATAGTATTGTGTCTACATGTATCCCTGCAGGTCAGATGAGGGCACCAGATCTCATTACGGATGGTTGTGAGCCATCATGTGGTTGCTGGGAATCGAACTCAGGACCTCTGGAAGAGCAGTCAGTGCTCTTAACCTCTGAGCCATCTCTCCAGCCCCGGCCCTCATTCTTTCTACTAAAAGCTGTTAACAAATCTCCCACTCCTCCTAATGAGTGATCAGAATTCCATAATGTGTTTCACCCCCGTATCTGTAAAAGGAGCCCTTAATTGGTCTAGATAATCAAAGGCCAGAGTCAGATATAGAGGGAAATGCTGAGAGATCAGAGAGAAGGAGCAAGTCACAGCACACCTTACCTCCTAAGCGTCTCAGCAGAGAAGAGAGCGACTTCCTGTAACCCTAACCCTAACCCCTTACAATACTCATCATCTGACTTCTACCCCTCAAACTCGAGCCAGTCAAAATCATATTACCAAAGAAACCAATTTTAACAAAAACTTTATATTTCTATGCTTGTAACTCTACAAATTCTTCTAATCATAACATTTTCAGCAAGTGAATTAATCACATTTTATATTTTATTTGAAGCTACTCTTATTCTAGCACTTACTATTATTACTTGATGAGGCAATCAAACAGAATGGCTAAACACAGGACTACATTTTTTATTTTACACTCTTATTGCTTCTATTCCTCTCCTAATTGCCTTTATCTTGATTCAAAATACACAAGGAACACTAAACATTATACTTCTTTCCATTAATAATATAACATTAGACCTAACATGATCTAATTACATTCTATGACTAGCATGTATAACAACATTTATAATTAAGATACCCCTCTATGGGGTCCATCTATAACTCCCAAAGCCCATGTAGAAGCCCCTATTGCAGGATCAATAGTGCTTGAAGCAATTCTACTAAAATTAGGGGTTACAGAATAATACAAATATCTATTATCTTGGACCCTATAACAAAAACTATGACCTACTCATTTATCCTTCTCTCACTATGAGGCATAATTATAACTAGCTCTATCTGCTTGCGACAAACAGACCTAAAATCATTAATTGCTTACTCCTCAGTAAGTCGCATAGCACTGGCTATAGCGGCTACTATAAGACCCCAAACAGGCTTTATTTGTGCAAGAAAGGTATCACCACACATATCAACGGCATTTGGCTAGCTCAACCTGTCTCTCAGGCAGAGAGTCTACTTATTCATTAGGTAAGGGAACAGTTACGAGCCTGGTATGTATAGTCACAAGAGTAGTATCCTGGCTAAGTTTCTGTTGCTGATAAAACACATGGCTAAAGCCACTCGAGGGAGGAAAGGGCTTATCACCTTATACTTCCAGATACTTGTCCATTACCGAGGGACTTTAGGGAGGGACTCAAGGCAGGAATGTAGAGGCAGGATCTGATGCAGAGGTCATGGAGGACAGCCACTGCTTACTGACTCATTCCTCATGAGTTAGCTTAGCCTGCTTTCGTACGCAACCCAGAAACCCCCATGCCCAGGGGTGACACCGCCCAGAGTGGACTAGGTCCACCCCATCAATCATTAATTAAGAAAACACTTCACAGATTTGCCTAGGGGTCAATATGATGGGGTCGTTTTTTTAAAATTGAGGCTCTTGCCAGGCATTGGTGGTGCACGCCTTTAGTCCCAGCACTCAGGAGGCAGAGGCAGGTGGATCTCTGTGAGTTCGAGGCCAGCCTGGTCTACAGGAGCTACTTCCAGAACAGTCTCCAAAGCCACAGAGAAACCCTGTCTCGAAAACAAAAAACAAACAAACAAATAAAAAAAATGAGGCTCTCTCTTCCCAGTTATGTTCACAAAAGTCTAGCAGCCCACGTAGAGTGTGTGGCTTCTAGGACTGTGTGCTGCTAAGAGCTTTTGACAAGGCCAAAGGAATGCAAAATAATTTTTAGCACCAAGTAACATGAGCAGTGGCCATCTCTCACTCCGCCCCCCCCACTCGGTCTGCCCCTTCCTGTGTCCATTTTTTCCCCGGCTTTAATAGAAACCACAACATTTCTCTACGTGTTCTTCAGTAATCAAGCAGTGTCATTAGATCTCATAGATGTTTCTTTTTGATAAATTAGAAAATTGACCCCTCTCCTCTCCAAGACTTGGAGTCCAGTTTATTATGGTGAATTATGCCCCCATCTTGGGGCAAAGGTAATGAGTTTCTGGGTGGTTCCATTGTTAGTACATGGTGGATGGTCCACAGACTTCCTTAACACTTCATTGGGATCTTTTAAAAAACATTTGTAAAAAGCTGTGTGTTGGTGGTGCATGCCTTTAATCCCAGCACTCAGGAGACAGAGGCAGGCGGATCTCTGTGAGTTTGAGACCAGCCTGGTCTACCAGAGCTAGTTCCAGGACAGCCTCCAAAGCCATAGAAAACCAAAAAAAAATTGCAAAAAAATTTTTTATTTATTATATATACAGTGTTCTGCCTGTGTGTATGCTTGCACGCCAGAAGAGGACTCCAGATCTCATTACAGATGGTTGCGAGGCACCATGTGGTAGCTGGGAATTGAACTCTGGAAGAGCTGCCAGGGCTCTTAACCACTGAGCGGTCTCTCCAGCAAGTCTTGTAGATGTCCCATGACTTGCCCTTGGGTCAGGAGGAGGATCAAGTCATTTGACTTCTAGGATCCTGAGTCCCAGCTCTTTATTCCTATGTGGAAGGATCATGAGTTGGATAAATCTCCAATGGACCAGGAATCCGACATCTGCCCTTACACACGTGGTCCCTAATCCGCTGCCCACCCACCCCCATCCCCCCAGCTCAGATCTGAGAGCACTAGAACTACGATGTTGATGTGAGCATTCCTTCTCACTACAGACCAAGTGGCATGCGTTGTACCTTCAGAATGTCAGAAGTTCTGTGGCAGACAAACTGGCTGTAGTGTCCTGGCTTACCCAGTGCTGGTGATAGGAGTGGTGCCTTCTGGTAAGAAATGGGCCTTTCTACCAAGAGCTACATGACTCCCTCTGGAGTGAGGATGAGGAGTGGCTTCCTTACCAGCCTGCCCGTCATTGTGCATGGAATGGCAATCTGGGTGTTGGGAGTGGTTAGCACTGGAACAAGCTTTGCTTACTCTGGTAGGCACCTAGGCCTTGACCCTCTCTCTCCTTTCCATACTGGGAGTGTACATCCTCATGGAGGCACAACCTGCACACACGGGGCGTTATTTATGTCACCCACTCGTTTATTCAGAATATTGGCTCCCCGCACTGTAAGGCATTGTTGTAAGCCCTAGAGTGCAAACATCAGCGAGAATGGTGCGGTCCTCAAATTGCCTGTCATACAGTGACGTTAAAGAGCCAGGCAGTGGCCTAGCAGTCAGGTGATGGGCATTAGTAGGTGGGCAGAGAGCCTTTGCGTTTGCCTTACCCTCTTTTCCAGATCCCAGTAAAACGACCAAACCTATGTTTCTAAAGCAAACAGAGTCAGTGTCAGCGCTGGAGAGCAACTTTTTCGTAAACTTCAACACAGACAGAGGCAAATACTGACCATGCTACAGTCTGACTCTGATGTGAGCCTTGGCTCATGCCCTGTCCTGGAGCAGCCAGGGCTTAGACTGGGAGTAGTGCTTGAAGGAGGGCAAATTCTAGATCAACCTATGTCTATGAAAGTCAGTTGGGGTACTGTTGGGGAAGTCCTGTTATTTGCCTGTGCATTTGTCAATAAAGTACTGTCTGGCCAATAGAAAACCTAGATAGGAGGGACTAGGAGTCGAGGAGGATTCTGGGAAGGGGAAACACAAGAGAGTCAACATGTGATGCCATGGGGGTAGGACGCCGGGAACTATTCTCCGGTAAGAAACATACTTAGATTAACAATTATGGGGTAATTACTTAAGGCAGAGCTAGCCAGTAAGAGACAAACAAGGCCAACAGCTTCATAATTAATATAGCCTCCTGTGTGTTTATTTGGGACTGATGCGGATCTAGAACCAGGCTGGCGCGGCAGAGCCCAGGCGACTGGCGGGGGATAAACCAAAGCAGCTAGCAAAAGAAAAAGCTTCTCTTAACAGGGTACTACCATGGGGAGCTTCCAGGTGAGGTCCTGGTCGTCTTCAGATATCTTTAGATGCTGCACTATCTCCTGATAGTACAAAGAAATTGTCAAGCAGAGCACTCCCCCTCACCAGGCAGCCTTCCAGGCAGTGGTACCAAGTTGTTACGTTTCTGTAGTGCTGAGTGAATGCCTCCTGTCTTTGGACATCGTGTGAATTCATCTAATACGAGGTCTGTACCTTAACAGCCTCATGGTAGGTACCACACCCACTTCACCAATGAAGAGTTCAATTTCTTGCCTATAGCAAGGCCTTCTCCAAGCTGGGACACAAGCAATGGTGTCTGTCGCACAGGGCTGTGGTACAGATGATGTGGCCTGACACAGACCAACTCTCCAAGAAAGAGTAGCTCCCACTATTCTGTAAGCACCCAGCAGGAAGCTATCACCCCCTCACAAGCCAAGGACCGATGTAACACAATGTCTTATGGAATGCCACTCCAGGAAAAAGCTGCAGGTTTTAAAGGTGTTTGGAGACATTCCTTAGGAGGTCAAGGCCTTCTCTGGCCTGACCAGAGAGCTGACAGTCCAGGGAATGTGTTCTCTTTCTTCCAGGCCTAAAAGGCTTTATGCTGTCCACAGTATGTGCCTCCGTCATGTCCTCCCTGACTTCCATCTTCAACAGCTCCAGTGCCCTGTTCACGCTGAACATTTACACCTGGATTCGGCCCACAGCCACTGAAAAGGAGCTCATGGTGGCTGGAAGGTGAACTGTTTTAGTCACATTAGTCAGTAATGCAATGACTGTCTGAGAATAGACTAATACTTGACACAGAATCCTTTTTTTTTTTTTTGGGGTTTTTGGGGGCGGGTCTGTGTGGCTGGGGGGTTATTTTTGTGCAGCTTTGCAATGATAATGTAATACTTTGATTATCACAAAGAATACTGTTTTCACGTGGTTAAAAAAAAAGAGCCGGGTGTTGGTGGCTCATGCCTTTAATCCCAGCACTTGGGAGGCAGAGGCAGGCGGATCTCTATGAGTTCAAGGCCAGCCTGGTCTACAGAGAGTTCCAGGACAGCCTCCAAAACAAAACAACAATACAGAGAAACCCTGTCTCGAAAAAACCTAAAAAAAAAAAAAAAAAGAAAGAGAGAGAGTAATACAGTGATTCAGCTGACCTATTATCTCATTTAATCCTCATGAAAACTGTTAAAGGCAACTTTCAATTTTCTTTCTTTTTAATTTAAAAAAAATGTCCTTCAGTGTATCCTGATCACACTCTCCTTTTCCTCCAACTCATCCCAGATCCTCCCCATCTCCCTACACACCCAACTTTGTGGCCTCTTTCTCTCTTTGTAAAACAGGCAGACAAAACAAAAACAAAAAGAACCCCCAACCCAACCAAAATAAAACAAAACAAAAAACACAACTACACAACAAACAACCCCTCAATAAACACAGAAAAACATACAGCAAAAGAAAAATAAGACAAAAAATCCCAAAACAAAGCAACATGAGACAAAAAGTCTAAAAAAATGCCACTCAGTTCCTTCTACGTTGACCATCTGCTGCTGGGCCTGGGGCTGACTCTGAATATAGTTAACATACCCAGTGAGACTCCATTGGAGGAAACTAGTTTCCTTTGCAAGTGGTCAAATGCAGATAGCTTCTCCGTTAGGCGTGGGAACCAGTGTCTGCCTCCCCATCTCAATGCTGGAGCCCCGTCGGGATTGAACCTTGTAGACCTGTGAGCCTGCGTGTTCATCAGTGAGTTCTCTTGTGTCTGGAGGACACTGTTCCCTTGGAGGCCGTCCCCTCTGCCTCTTTTACTCTTTCTGCCTCCTCTTCCACGTAGATCCCGAGTCCTGAGGGGAGGGCTTGATGAAGGCATCCCATTCAAGACTGAGTGCTCCAAATCCCCCACTCTCTCCATGTTGTCCAGCTGTGGGTCTTGGTGAGTTAAAGCCCATTTCTCACCTTCAGCTCTGTCAGATTCAGGGCTCACATTTAGGTCCTCGATGCATTTGGAGTTGAGTTTTGTGTAGGGTGATAAATATGGATCTATTCGTATTCTTCTGCATGTAGCATCTAGTTTGGCAAGAACCATTTGTTGGAGATGTTGTCTTTCTTACACTGTGTATTTCTGGCTTCTTTGTCAAAAAATCAGGTGATTTTTGCATGTCTGTGTGAATAATGTGCATGTATGTTTTTGCTCACAAGCATGTGAGGTTGTTAGTCCTCAGTCTCTCTTACTGTGCATATTGAAGCAGGAGATCTCACAGAACACAGAGCTTACCTTTGGTTAGTCTGGCTGGTCATTTTGATCCAGGAAGTCCCCATCTCCCCGTCCCCCAAACTGGGATCACAGGTGGGTTGCTAGGCCCACATAGTTTTTATATGGGGTCTGGGAATCTGGACTCCAACCTTCACATTTGTCTGGCATATGCTTTAGCCCAAGATTTCAGTTTTATGTTGCTAGACAACGTATGAGAAAATGAGAAGAGACTAAATGAAACTGAAATGTTCTAAGATTCTAGATAGAGATATTGGAGATACGATAAAAGTAAAACTTGGGTCAGAGTAGATCAATAATGCATTTAGTCCTAAACCAAGCAATAAGAGAGTACTTTAAAATGTTTAGTGAGTTAATACAAGGAAAATAGAGACTAATAAAATATTTGAGTAGTGCCGGGCAGTGGTGGCGCACGCCTTTAATCCCAGCACTCGGGAGGCAGAGGCAGGCGGATCTCTGTGAGTTCGAGACTAGGCTGGACCGACAGCCTCCAAAACAATACAGAGAAACCCTGTCTCATAAAAACCAAAAAAAAAAAAAAAATTGAGTAGTTCAAATTAAACCCCAAAATGATGGGAAAAAGACAACAGGTGAAGCCAGGCATTGGTGGCGCATGCCTTTAATCCCAGAATTTAAGAGGCAGAGGCAGGTGGATCTCTGTAAGTTCGAGACCAGTCTGGTCTACTGAGCGAGTTCCAGGACAGGCTCCAAAACAATACAGAGAAACACTGTCTTGAAACCCCCGCCCCCCAAAAAGACAAGAGTGGGTTGAGTTAAAAAGTTAATGGGGTAGCACATATAAAATCAAATTTTGTGTTAAAAAACACAATAAAGCTTAAGGTATGACTATACCAAAACTTTTTGCAAAGTACATGTGACCTTTTCCATAAAGATGAGTGTCTTAGGGTTTCTATTGTTCCGACAAAATACCATGACTAGGGCTGGAGAGATGGTTCAGAGGTTAAGAGCAGGGACTGCTCTTCCAGGGGTCCTGAGTTCAATTCCCAGCAACCACATGGTGGCTCACAACCATCTACAGTTCAATCTGGTGCCCTCTTCTGGCATGTATATTATACATATACAGTTATATTTAATAAATAAATCTTTAAAAAACAAAACAAACAAACAAGACAACCCACCATGACCAAAAAGCAAGTTGGGGAGGAAAGGGTTTATTTGGCTTACATGTCTGTAGTTAATCATTGAAGGAAGTCAGGGCAGGAACCTGGCGACAGAGCTTAGGCAGAGGTCATGGAGGAATGCTGCTTACTGGCTTGTTCCTCATGGTTTGCTCAGTCTGCTTTCTTGTAAAACCCAGGACTACCAGCCCAGGGATGACCCCACCCACCATGGGCTGGACCCTCCCCCACTGATCACTACTTGAGAATAGGCCTTACAACTAGATCTCTTGGGGGCATATCCTCAACCGAGGATCCTTTCTCTCTGATGACTCTAACTTGTCTCAAGCTGACACACGAAGCCAGCAAGTACAATGCCTTCTTAAGGGTCTAGGGAAGAAGATCTGTTGTGGTCTTGGTCATACAGATAGCACAAAGGTCACCAGGCTGTTAGCCACCTCCACTCCTATTTGTTATCTCCCATAAAGATGTGTTCCATTGACTGAAAAACAATATAGAATATAGGGGTCTAGAGAGGATGATTGAGATAAACATGAGAGACTGGGGGAGACAGGGGTGGTCTGGCTCTACACATAGAACAGATGTCACCAGGCTGCTAACCACATCCATTCCCAGTCTTCTGGGGAGAAGACAGGCTGTATACATCTCTCTTTGAAGAAGAAACCCTGTGTGTTTAATATTCCTGGTTTCCCTAGTGTTTATCTGTGAGCACAAGGACCTCATGCCCTCAACAGATTGAGTTAAAACTTTCAATAGCACCCATCTCTTTGATGCCTCAGAAATAGGTACTATGCTATGTGACAGGCTGGAGAAAGGCATTCCAAGCAATTGGGACTAGGAAGTAAGAAGTTATTACTATTCAAAAGAAATAGACTTGAGACCAAAATTAATCTGAAAAGATGAAGAGGGTCATTTTATTTTTATTTATTTATTTATTTATTTATTTATTTTTTGGTTTTTCGAGACAGGGTTTCCCTGTAGCTTTGGAGGCTGTCCTGGAACTCACTTTGTAGACCAGGCTGGCCTCGAACTCACAGAGATCTGCCTGCCTCTGCCTCCCGAGTGCTGGGATTAAAGGCGTGCGCCACCAATGCCCGGCGAGGGTCATTTTATAATGATGAAAAGATGAACCTTGGTGAGCTCAGCTTCATAAAACAAGCACCACTAGATGTAAAGAAACAAATTAGTCTCAATTTAATAGTGTAGGTGACGTCAGTAGTCCAGTCTCTTCATAGACAGTTCATTCTAACAAACAATACACTGAGAAACATCTGATTTAAATGACATCATAGATCTATTAGGCATTTATAGTACATTTCTTCCAAACACCGAAGAATATAAATTCTCAGCAGTTCATGAAACTTTCCCTAAAATAGACCATAATTACAATAGTAGTAGAAATAATAAATGTAAGCAACTAAGGAAAAGCTATGTAGTTAGGGTTTGTAGGTATTTTTTGCAGGAGAAAATCTTTAACTTCTCACTGAGCGTTGGTTTACTTCACAGGTTCTTTGTTATAATCTTATTTGCTATCACCGTCGTCTGGGTCCCCATTATAGAAATGGCATCCAGTGAGACACTGTTTGAGTACATGCAGGTTCTTAAGAGCTGCCTGACACCAAGCATGACTGCTGTCTTTCTGCTGGCTGTATTTTGCAAGAGAGTCAATGAGCAGGTGGGTACTCACATGGAATGGTGGGAGGGGCTGTCTTCACACTGTGGATGTCTTTATAAGCGCCCTTAGGGAGGTCTCTCTGGTATCAAGAGTTCACTTGAGGACATCATTTGGTTAGAGGGAAGGTTTTTATTTAGATACGAGAGAGAACAGCCAGAGGCATCTGAAAGAGTCCAGAACATTGCAAGAATAGCAGGGTTATAAAGAGACCGAGTACTAGGGGAAAGGAAGTGACTTTAGGGTAGTGGAGGACAGAAGGGTTAAGATGCTAGCCGGGACTCTGAAACATGTAACAGGTACTTGGGATACTGAGGGAGTCTGGAGGCCAGCATGGGCTTTGATATGCTAATAGGCACCACAGGTAGCCATATGTCTGCTCAGTCAGTCATAAGGGAAATGACTGCTTTTGGTAGAGGGGAATCGGCTTTACAAGTTCCTGAGTGAATGAGAAAAACAAGAAAAAGAAGTAAGAAGTAAAGGAAAGACTGCTCCTAGGTGTGGTGGATTGTAGACTCCTGGAAGTGGCCAGGAGTCAAAGCCAGATATACCGACATGTGGGGAGCATTCTAAGCAGAAAACAGGAAAGGGCAAGAACTCAAGTGGGGAGCTTGTAGATGCAGAAGCAGGCTGAGAAGGAAGGAGTGGGGTGACCAAGCGAGGAGCAGGGGAGCTGGGTGAGGTCAGCCATGATGCAGGGGTGAGGCTTGATCCCGATGCCAGCTGCTGAGAAGTCACTGCAGAGTAGAGGATCCTGCAGAGTCAGTGGTCAGTTAGGAACAATGTACCCCCCCCCCATGAGAAAGGATGGGGGTGAGGGTCATGGTAAGGGAGTGAATTCTGGACATTTTGGGAGCAGAGGCCAACAGGATTTGCTGAGGGACAGTGTGGAAAGTGAAGAGCTGGAGGCAGCCCCTGTGGCTCCTGGGTTTGCCTTGAGCATCTCAGAGTTGGGCTCCCACTTAGGAAGCAGGGAAGATGAAGCTCTTTATTGGACACAGTTTGAGATGTCTACTCATGGTCTCAGTTAAAAGTGTTTCCGATTTTTCCTAAGTCTCCTATTCGATGTAAGGGACAGTGTCAGGGTCTGACATTCCCTCATTACAAGAAATTTAACACGAGAGCCCAGCTCATCAGCAAGGGAAGAGGATTCCACTTTGTCTCATCTCCCTCTGCCCATGTAACTCTTGTCTGGCTTCTTTGCCAGGGCGCCTTCTGGGGGCTGATTTTTGGGACATCAATTGGCATCGTTCGACTGCTGGCTGAGTTTTTCTATGGATCCGAGACCTGTGAGGAAGGCAGCAAGTGCCCAATGCTCATCTGTAGCCTTCATTACCTCTATTTTGGCTTTTTACTTTTCCTCATTACTCTCCTCATCGTACTGGCCATCTCCCTAGCCACAAAACCAATTCCAGATAGACATGTAAGTGCCACTGTTGGAATGCTCTGGGAAGAGTTCTAGGGAATGTTAAGTTGCAAATGAGGGGGGAATGGCTAGATTTCTGGAAGACTATGGGTGCAGTAGGTCCGAAATGGACAAAGTACCACAGAAAGGATCCTGCCTTAGGATCATGAGAGGTGGGGCTAGAGAGATGGCTCAGAGGTTAAGAGCACCGGTTGCTCCTCCTGAGTTCAATTCCCAGCAACCACATGGTGGGTCATAACATCTGTAACAGGATCCCGCTTCTGGTATGCAGGCAGAACAATATACAAAAAATAAATCTTTCTTTTGCTTTTTTGAGACTGTGCTTCTCTGTGAAGCAGTCCTGGAATTAAAGACACATGCCACCACTGCCAGGCTCAAAATAAACCTTAAAAACCAACCAACAAACCAACCAACCAAAAAACATGAGAGGCTGGGGTTGAGTGCTGGTTTACCATCCCCCACACATAAGAATAACAATAATAAGCAAAAGCTGTTTATTGCCATCAGTTACACACCCATTTAGTTTGAGAGACTTACAAGCCATTTCCTACCCCGCAGGAGGCAAGTGTCAGTCAACTGTTTTATATATTTATTAGACAGCTTGGACTCGGAGAAGTTAAATAACTTGTCCAAGGTAATGAAACTATTAAGTGTCCTTACTAGGCTCCAAAGCCTGGACTGGCTCCACTTTGTCACCTACTTTGTTTGGTACCCAGCACAACAAGCAACTGACATTGGCAGGGGTGGGGTTCTGGGCATCTATCTGACAACCAAGAGGGAGCATCACAGACCACAGACGGGGATGGGGATGGAAGACCAAGGACCTTGCTTGCAGCTTTACCTAGTCTGAGCAGAAGGGTGAACGCTATTATCAAAAGTTGAGTTAGGGGCTCAGAGGTTAAGATCACTGGCTGCTCTTCCAATTCAGTTCCCAGCACCCACACGGCAGCTCACAATTGTCTGTAACTCCAGTTCCAAGGGATCTGATGCCTTTACACCAATGCACATTAAAATAGCTAAATAAATTATTAAAAAAGAAAAAAGTAGCTTTAAAAAAGTTGAATTAGAGATGATAGAGACAGAGGATTTGCAAGTTTAGGTCAGCTGGTTGTAGAGCAAATTCCAAGACAGCCTAAGTTACTTAGGGAAAACCTATTTTAAAAACCAAAACAAACTCCAAAACCAAAAATCAAAACCAAACCAAACCAAACCAAAAGTAAACCAAGCTGAGCCTATTTGGAAGCCTGTAAGCCTCAGGTATCCCCAGCCTATTCCTTTTCCAGACCCAGCCACTTGGAAGAGGGACAGCCCATGTGGGGAGGTCAGGATGCTCATACCCCTGCATCAGCAGTGACCCAGCAAGGGAGGCGCCTGCTCCTAGTGCCTCAAGTGACTGTCTCCCGTGGCCCAGGCTCTTCATCCTCCATCTCGTTGGCATTCTTTTTGGTCTCCTTCTTTCAAACTCATGTCTATCCTCAGTTTGTCAGCTTAGTGTGTTCTGAGTGTCCCTCTACAGGCCTCACAGACGTGCTGGACTCTGTTAAAGACAAAGGAGCTGTCTAGCAGGGAGGGAGCTTAGAGGGACCCTGCATTGGTCTGAGAACTCCCAACACAGAACCTCTGATCATATAACCTGGAGGGATGGCACTATGCCCTCATCTCAGACAAGCTCAGGAGCCCAAAGATACTGCACAGTATTCAACATAAGCCCCTCTACACATCCAGAACCTCATTCAAGAGAGGCCGTCGTTCTATTACCTACAGTGTGGTCAGGTCACCATGGCAAATTTTATGTGGTGTTGGGGATCAAACCGAGAGCTCCATGCTTGCTAAGCAAGCAGTCTTAACAACTGAGCTACACCTCCAGCCCACCAAAAATGTTATTTGAAGAAATAGTTAGGAAAAGAAAGGGAGTGCCCCTTGGGCACGTGAAGAACTCTATTGAACTTGAGCAGGTAAGCGTCCTTCCTGGGGCCAGGCAGGGGGATCCAACCATCCTAGCTTGTGTCACTGCTCTCTAAGGGCCCATGGAGGGCTTCTGGGATGACAGCAACTCTGATCTTTCATGATGTCCTGCTCAGCAAGATGCCAGTGCTCCCCCACACTGTCAAAAGAGGTAAACCAGAAGTGGTGGGAAGGGCCTGGAGAAATGACTCTGTGATTAACAGCACTGTTTCCTCTTCCAGAGGACCCAGGTTCAATTCCCAGCACCTACATGGCTGCTCACAACTGTCTGTAACTCCAGTTCTAAGGGATCTGATACCCTCACACTGATATACATGTAGGCAAAACATCCATGTACATAAAACAAACATACATCAATGCACATAAAATAAAAATAAATCGGCTGGGCATTGGTGGTGCTCGCCTTTAATCCCAGCACTCGGGAGCCAGAGGCAGGAGGATCTCTGTGAGTTCCAGGCCAGCTTGGACTACAGAGCGAGTTCCAGGACAGCCTCCAAAACAATACAGAGAAACCCTGTCTCGAAAAACCAAATAAATAAATTAATTAAATAAAAATAAATCAATGCCAAGTGGTGATGGCACATGCCTTTAATCCCAGCACTCGAGAGGCAGAGGCAGGCGGATCTCTGTAATTTTGAGGCCAGCCTGGTCTATAGAGTGAGTTCCAGGACAGCCAAAGCTAAAAAAGGGGGGGGAAAGTGGTGGGTAGCTTCTCCTATACTCCAGGGGGGTGTGAGAAATGCATGTTCCTGGCACCTCCAAACACAAAGATCTCTGAACTCATTGTCTCTAGCCTTTGGCTTCAGGCTGAAGAACACTGACAATCACATATGACCTGGGCCAAAGCACAAACTCAGGTTTCATGACTCCTGTCACTTCCCCTCTAACCTAACTTCTACCTTCTGTTAATGTCTGACAAGCCATCTCCCTTTTCAACCTATTGGGACATGGCTCTCGCTCTGTAGGCTGTGGGTGATCTATGTCTGCAGGCCAAGGTCCCATGATGACACCCTCCCACCCTGCTCTCTCCACACCCAGCTCCATGGTCTCTGCTGGAGTTTACGTAACAGCCGACAGAGGAGGGTGGCCTTAGAGAAAGAGATGAGGTGGACGATGTTCCCCAGCGCCACATTCCAGCAAGGTAACAGAGCCCGCCCCAGCCGTGAGAAGCAGTCCTGTGTGGACCCTGAAGCTAGGCCAGCAGCCCCAAGCAACTCCTTCCCCACCATTCTTATCTTCAGAAACAATCTTTTAGACAGAAGAGCCTGCTTTCTTCCCCAAAGTGCTTCCTGGGGCTGTTAGCACAAGTCTAAGAGGCCAGGAGATCCTAGAGGGGAGAGAAAAGAAAAAAGAGGTTAGGCCACAGCGATGGGACCCAGGCAAGGGGAAGCAATCCAAGAATGTGTTGGGTGAAGGGTGCCGGGTGAAGTCTCAAGAACCAGCTCTTGGGTTTAGCCCCACAGACACATGGTGTGCCTGCAACGGAGCAAGTGACAGTGTGGTCTGAGAGGGGAATAAGAATGTGTAAGAGAGGGGCAACAGGGGGCTGGAGAGATGGCTCAGAGGTTAAGAGCACTGGCTGCTCTTCCAGAGGTCCTGAGTTCAATTCCTAGCAACCACATGGTGGCTCGCAACCATCTGCAATTCAATCTGGTGCCCTCTTCTGGCATGTAGACAGAACACTGTATATGTAATAAATAAATAAATCTTTAAAAAAAAAAGAGGGGGGGCAACAGTACAGAATTCCAAAGCAGAGGCTCCTGAGAAGTGCCAGGAGGGAGGGGCACTTCTCCACCTGGAAGACATCTGGATGAGAACTCAGTGTCAGTCTGAGGGAAAAGGAGAGAGTGCCTGGTGGTGGGGAGGAGAGTTAAAGCCTGAGAGAGACTTTCAGCAGATAGCATCAGAAAAGGAGTCTGCAGGCCCTCAGGACCCAGGGAGTGAGGCTGTTTAACTATAGTCATCAGATGTCACAGCACAACTGCTGGGACCCAGCTCTGACTGAAATGGGGTTATTCTGTTCCCAGGAGTGACTGGGAGGTCACACTCTAGGCAATGACTGGGCCCGAAGTAGTGGGACAGAGCTTAACATGGTGCTGATCCCAGCCAGCACAGGCTCTGAGGGGCCAGCCTGCGCCATCAATGCAGACAGACGCTGAGATAATGCTTGCCTCCAGTTAGGAGCCCTGGAGAAAGGAATGGCAGCCTTCTGAGGTTACCAGGCTCCCCTTCCCGACAGTCGTAGGATGTTCCTACAGGACCCAGGTATCTGCAGATGTTCTGCTGGCCAAGCAGAGGACTAGAGCTTCCTAGAGAAGACTCTCCCCAGATGTTACTGAAGAGACCGATGTCTGTTTCCAGGACCCACTGGGTTTCCTCTGTCCTCCAAAGCACAATGACCTCACAGAGGAGCCACCACCACTTGCCCTAGACCTGCAGCAATGGACAATGACACTGTAACAGCATATTGACATATGTAACATAGTGAGTTACATTTCTGTAACACTTACTTGAGTTGCCTAATCAGGAGGATCTGGGCACAACTCTGAACTTTCAGCCCACTCAACACTTCCTAAGCCCCTTTCTCCCCTCCGTCTCGTTCTTTTCTCTGAGTACTTTCCTTGGATAGGCTGACAATGGGCTTTCATATCACAAGTCCAAGGAACTTCATCCTGGTGAGGGGGACCTCCCTTTCAAGTCCTAGCCTCTGCTTGTCCCCTGACCTCCTGCTCCCTCTCTTCCAGGTATGTTTGGGGAGACCCAAAGCTGTTTCTGGAAGTCCTGGGACTTGTTCTGTGGTCTTGACAAACAGTCAAACTCTAAGATAGGCCCTGAGATTGCCACTGAGGAGAAGATAAAGGCATCCTGGGAGCAGATGGGGTCCAGTGGGATGCCAGCCGACCTAGAGGCTCTGGCCAGGAAAACTGCAACCAGAAAGGAAGAGGAACATACAGAGAAGATGAGAGACTGGAGTAGCATGCCAGAGAGCCTCCTCTGGAAGAGAGTCGTGAATGCTGTCGGGATCCTTTTGTTTGCGCTTCTCATTCTTGTTCATATCTATTTTGCTTGATGACTCGAGGGTTGCAGCCTTTCCCGGACTGCCTCATCGTGAAGGGATGAAGTGTTTCCTTTGGAGAGACCCAAGAGGATGGGGCCGAAGACCATACCAATGAAAGCGCCCTCTCAGTGTGTGTCAAGCACTAACAGCTGCCATATATGCATGGCCAAGAGACAGAGGATGACCCTGTGTTTACAGACTGTGCCAGGGAGAACATCTGTTCCTCTCAATGACTGCACTGCATAAACACTGAATTTCCTTTCAAATTTAATGTTGGCTTTTTTTTTTAATCTCCGAGAGTTTTGGGCTTTAACACACATACACACACACACACACACACACACACACACACACTTTGCTTGTGTCAAACTGTCAACATCTCTTTCCCGCCCCCACTCAGTATGCGTTGCTGTGTACTCATCTTGAAGGCACAGCCCTGCTCAAATGACAGCAGGGGTGCAAACCCAGCCCACTCTTGCCGTCCGCCTGCTCCCACGGTGTTGGGCCAGTGCTGGTGACCACTCGGGTCAGGGAGCAACGGCTGCCTCCTTCAGCTGGGTAAGCACTGCCGCACAGATCCCTAGAGGACAGAGGAAGGGCATGCTCCTTACCCATGAGCCACCCCTAGCCACACCCCAAGTCTGACACTAAAAGAGGGGCCTATGGATAAGATTATTTTTAGCCAACAGATCCAGACACTCCTGGGCTATGTCACTATGGGAATTTCCTAAACCTCTCTTTCCTCTTCTTGCTTCTTGGACCATAATAAATGATCTGCGTCTTTAGCAAAACTCCCAGGTGCCTTGAAGTGACCTGGGGGAGGCCCACTCAGAATTGCAAGAACAACACTGTCAAGGTATACTTGCATACCCTGTCCCTCATTCCTTCCTTGGTTCTTTAGCTGACTGTTCTGAGTACCAGTTGTGCCCCCCCCTTTGTTGTGTTCTATTAGAAATGGGCATGGAGTCCTAAGGAAATGACCACACAATCTGAAGTATTTCCACAAGGCAAAAGTTTTACTTCTGTAGATGGATGACTAGATGTATTTCAGCAAGAAGGTCACCCAGCAGGGGTCCTATGCCACATTGAGTGGTCAGAACCTGGCCTCACATTCTTTATGTAACTGACTAACTCAAAACAGCAGAACTGACCATCAAAGTGCAACTTCTGAGACTGATTCACCCCTGAGCATGTGCTTTTATTAAAAAACAATGCAGACTCAGCGAGGGATTTTTGCTGACGGTGTCTTTCCAAACTTCTTTCCAAACTTCCTTTGCCAACATTTAATTCTTTGATAGAAAAGACAGTCCATGTCATTAACATTTCCCACAATGCCCCCTTTATAACACAATCCAATTATTTTTTTAAAGATTTTATTTATTTATCATGTACACAACTCTCTGCCAGAAGAGGACACCAGATCTCATTACAGATGGCTGTGAGCCACCATGTGGTTGCTGGGAACTGAACTCAGGACCTTGGGAACAGCAGCCAGTGTTCCTAAACTCTGAGCCATCTCTCCAGCCCCAATCCAATTATTTTTAAATTTTATTTTGTATTTTAAAAACCATCTCTTCAAGGGATCTAGAGATGGCTGAGTGGTTAAGAGCACTGGCTGTTCACTCAGAGGACCTGGGTTCAGTTCCCAGCACCCACCAGCTCACAACTATCTGTAACTCCAAGATCTGACACCCTTGCACAGACATGCATGCAGGCAAGACACTGATAGATATAAAATAAAAATAAATGTTTAAAAGATTGACAAAGAATCTAAAAAAAAAGCCTCATCATTTATTAGTTCCTTGAGAATTTTATGATATATTTTGAGCATATTCACTTAACTCCTCTAATCCCCTAACTCCTTCCAGATTCACTACAGCTTCCCTACATGCTCAACTTTGTATCCTCATTTTAGTTTTTAAAACCATCAAGTCATACCAGCACTCGGGAGGCAGAGGCAGGCAGATCTCTGTGAGTTCGAGACCAGCCTGGTCTACAAGAACTAGTTCCAGGACAGCCTCCAAAGCCACAGAGAAACCCTGTCTCGAAAAACCAAAACAAACAAAAAAACCCATCAGGTCCAATTTGCACTACCTATGTAGTCTTGGATGGGGGTGGTCAACTCACCAGGAGATATAATGGTAAGCACTGCAGCTGGGATGAAAAGGGATCTTGGCAGTCAGGAGCCAAGGAATACCACAAAGTCACCATGGCAGCTTACAGCCCTGCTCCAGGACAGGTTTCCCCAATGGAATAACTCTGCTCCGGCTAGGTAGTGCTGCTTCCTCAGGGAAGTTGTTACAGTTGTGTCTGGTCCCTTGGAGTGTAACAACTCCTCTTTCTCAGGGGAGGCCTTCCCCACCTAACCCTAACCCTAACCCTAACCCTAACCCTAACCCCCCCGGCCCCCCGCCCCTTCCCTAGGGGAGGGCTTCCCCAGCGTGGTGTTACAATTCTGCTCAGGTCTGCCTGAATGTAACAATTCTGCTTGGCCAGGAGAAGGTTTCCCCAGAGAAAGTGTTAAAATTCTGCTCTGCTCTGGCTTCAGGGAAAAATAGCTACTTCCTTGTTTTGCTCCACTCTGGTGAAAGGTCTCACCCAAATCTAGTTCAAGAGTTTTTGGGGGGCGGTGGTGGCCCACGCCTTTAATCCCAGCACTCTGGAGGCAGAGGCAGGTGGATCTCTGTGAGTTTGAGACCAGCCTGGTCTACAGGAGCTACTTCCAGGACAGTCTCCAAAGCCACAGAGAAACCCTGTCTCGGGGGGGGGGGGTGAGAGGGTGAAGATTTTCAGAGTGGGAATAAGTGGAATTTCTTTTTTTTTTTTTTTTTTTTTTTTTTTGGTTTTTCGAGACAGGGTTTCTCTGTATTGCTTTGGAGGCTGTCCTGGAACTCGCTCTGTAGACCAGGCTGGCCTCGAACTCACCGAGATCTGCCTGCCTCTGCCTCCCAAGTGCTGAGAATAAAGGCAAGCGCCACCAACGCCAGGCTTTATATAGGGCTTCTTAGAGGGTGAAGATTTTCAGAGTGGGAATAAGTGGAATTTCTTTTTTTTTTTTTTTTTTGGTTTTTCGAGACAGGGTTTCTCTGTATTGTTTTGGAGACTGTCCTGGAACTCACTTTGTAGACCAGGCTGGCCTCCAACTCACAGAGATCCGTCTGCCTCTGCCTCCCGAGTGCTGGGATTAAAGGCTTGTACCACCAACGCCCGGAAATAAGTGGGATTTCAATCCCTGAGTTTGAACAAGCTCAAAGACTGGCTGGATTTTGTGCTCAGTGACTGATTGGTTTCATGCTCAGAGATTGGCTGCCTTTTGTATGCTTGTGTGTGCTGAGCTGGTCAGGGACAGAATATATTTCTTTGGCTCTGGTTTCAGAGTGAGGGTGTGTTTCTTTGACTGGCCCTATAATAACCACTTTTCTCCCAGAAGCCATTAGTTGCCAATAGCTAGGGGTTGAACTCTGTGCCCAATTTCTCCCTCCACACTAGGATTTTTGTCTGGCTTGAGGTTGTACAGGTCTTGTGCCTGCTGTCATAACTTCCATGAGTTCATGCGTTCACTTGTCCAGAACATAATGTTTTGTGGTAGTTATCCACTGCCTTTGGCTCTTGGAATTTTCCCGCCCCCTCTTCTACAATGATCCCTGAGCCTTGGAAGGAGAGAGTATGAGCAGATGTTCCACTTAGGGTGAAGCATTCTGTAGGGTATTATTCTCTGTGTTAATCACCATCTATAGCAAAAAGAAGCTTCTCCGACGAGGGCCGAGAAATGCAATCCATGTGTGTTAACTGTTCTAGAAGCATTGGAACCTGGAGGAATAGAGCCTAGCAATGAGGTGGAGTAAATAATGTCTCATGCATTATTCAGAGCATCAGACAATCTACATGAGTAAAGTGTTCAATCACCAGGACAAGCCGATATGGCCAAAACATCTTTTCCAATATACATATACATAGAAGAGCATTCCCCGTCACACATCTTGTCAGACCAGGCAGTATTGTAGCTCTCAGGGCTCACAGCTGGATAGAATTGATGATTATTTTTCTCCTCTTCTAGCTTGCAGAGCACATTAGAGTTCCACGAAAGCTAGCCAGTGGGGATGAAGTTTCCACATCAGCACAAGGTGATTTCCCCATGTTCTCTGACTCAAGTGTGTGATATCTTTAGCAATAGGGTCTTGCTGTCAAGTTCTGGAAGATAATCAAAGCAACAGCCTGTCATGTTCAGCGTCTGTGGGACCTCACTGGACAATTATTACAAAAGAGGTACTCCCATCCCTGGCCATGGTGTTTAGTCTGAGTATTGTTTCCCCATTATAGGGTAACTCCATTTAAACTGCTTTTATGTACATGTATGTATATATTTTTAGGAAGCTTCTACAGTAGTAGCTTTCCATATGACTTTTTCTAAAGGTCTTTGGTTTTTGTTACTCTTCTCCACATTTCCTCTTCTACAATTTTATCCTCCCCCTATTTCTTTGCAAATTCCCTTAACATTGTTTGAGTTTCCTTTTATGAGGTCCTTCTGCAATATATTATGATAAAATGTCGGGTCCGCTGTGTAGCCTGTGTCCGAGAATGTGCGGAGGGTGTCGGGGATTGACAACACAGAGACTCTTTCAACGGTGTAAAGAAAACCTTAAGCAGGCCCCAAAAAGGCTCAAGAAAACTTCCTAAGAAAGCCTCCCTCCAGAAAAGCTTCTGCTCTCTCTCTACTCCTGGCTGGTTCTGCTCTGACACCAGAAACTGATTTGGGTGTGTCAGAAGAGGCGGTTAGTCTTTGGACAAGGTTGAGGTCAGGGCGGTTCCCGTTGGCCAGCCCTTTTCAGGAACTTATTGCCCTGAATTTGATGACCCAAATAAGTATAAGGGGGTCTCTTTTGGATCTTTTCAGGAGCCAAAATAAATCCGCGGGCCTCCAGAAGCTCCTGTAGCTCTGCAAAGGCTATATAACATTGTCTTTCTTCAGCTGCGGCCAAAAGAATATCATCCATGTAGTGGATAATGTAAAGATCAGGGAACTTGAGCCGGGCGACAGTGGCGCATGCCTTTAATCCCAGCACTCGGGAGGCAGAGGCAGGCGGATCTCTGTGAGTTCAAGGCTGGGCTGGACCAATAGCCTCCAAAACAATACAGAGAAACCCTGTCTCGAAAAACCAAAAAAAAAAAAAAGATCAGGGAACTTACGTCTGAGAGGATCTAAACAGGCAGCTACATAAATCTGGCATATAGTTGGACTGTTAGCCATCCCTTGGGGGAGCACCAC